TTTTTGAAGGGATTATTTTTTACCCACAGAAAAGGGATCTGCCAATTGACTAATAACTGCGTTCCTACTTATTGCTAGGTAAACAGAGGCGCGTGTGTGTGTGTGTGTGCGGAGTAAGGAAACTTGCCTAAGGTTTCGACCTGACCCACCCAGGAATCGAATCTGTGCACTCTCGATTGCGAGGCGAGTGCTCTAACCACTACGCTACAGGACTCCACAGTCTCATATTAAATATATATTATATATAATATGTAAGATGAGGCCTTGGAGAGGTTGCAAACGAAGATTTACCAGAAAGATACCGGGGATGAGGGGGTTAAGGGGAGATTTAACAGAGCTGTTCAAAATTATGAGAGGTTTTGGTAAGAGTAAATAAAGAGAAGTTGTTTCCTCCGTCAGGTCGATAACCAGAGGACAGAGATTTAAGATAAATGGCAAAAGAACCAGAGGGGAGACGAGGAGTCTTTTTGTTTTACCCAGAGAGTTGTTACGGGCTGGAACGTACGGCCTGGAAGGCTGGTGGGAGCAGATTCTATAGCAGCTCTCACAAGGGAATTGGATAGGGACTAGAAAAGGCACAATGTGCAGCGCTGTGGGGTAAGAGCGGGGACCAGTTGGGGTAACAGCGGGGACCAGTTGGGGTAAGAGCGGGGACCAGTTGGGGTAAGAGCGGGGACCAGTTGGGGTAACAGCGGGGACCAGTTGGGGTAAGAACAGGGGGAATTGGGACTGGTTGGGCTAAGAACGGGGGGAATTGGGACTGGTTGGGATAAGAACGGGGGGAGTGGGATTGGTTGGGGTAAGAACGGGGGGAGTGGGATTGGTTGGGGTAAGAACGGGGGGAGTGGGAACTGGTTGGGGTAAGAGCGGGAGGAGTGGGACTACTCAGTAGCTCTTTCAAAGAGCCGGCATAGGCTCGATGGGCCAAACAGCCTCCTTCTGTGCTGTATAATTCTACGATTCCATGACACATATACGTGACTGCCAGGATGGTGGCGGGCTCAGCGGATGGACCTCTGTTTCATGCTTTTCCTCAGTTCCTCAGTCCCTAACCCGCAAACACATCCGCTCAGTACCTCTCATTTTAGCTCAGGCTTTTTGTTTCTTCCCCTCAGTGAGATGGCCAGAGTGCAAAGCTGGATATGGGATCTCTCTTCGGGAGAGCTGCCAATGTAATTACATTGGAAGCCAAGGGTATTTAACAGAGCATTCTCCAAGTGCAACCAGCAGCCAGGCTCGGCATTATAGCAACGTATAAATCACTGGCCTCTCCCATTCTGTGTGCGATTGGCTGCCGCGTTTCGCCCACAAAATACAGTCAATTCTCTTTACATTCTATCCTGTGAAGACACACCGTCCTTCGGATGAGACGTTAAGACTCACTCTACGTTTGTGCCCTGTTCAGATGGATGAAGGGGGCTATATAAATGCAACGATTATTATTATGATTAATAATATTAACAGGCGGGAGGGTTAGGGGGAGCAGCAACGTTCCAGTGGGGACACAACTAGAAAAATTGGACACTTTAATTCCTGGTGACTTTTTTTTGAGAAGGGAGTTTCTCTTCCCATACACCGCGCACCCCCCCCATCCACCACCCCACCCCCACTGTCCTGGCCAACTATCGCCCAAATAAAATGACTCATTCACTTCACAGCTGTTTGTGGGGACGTCACTGTGCGCAAATTGGTTGCCATGTTCACCCACAAAACACAGTCACTGCACTTCACAGTCTATCTTGGGAAGCATTTTGAGATGGATTTCTGATTTGAAAGGCGCTTCATCAAATGTAATTATTATTATTAATAATACCCCTGGCAGGGCAATCTCTTTTCTTGTTACCTTGGAGGACAGCCGGGGTTACTTGCTGAATCCCATTCAGCATCTTCTTGTAAATGCCTCACAACATTGGCTACATAGCACAAATTTATTTTGGCAGCCGGGTGTCTGACACACACGGAAACCCGTCACTGGGACCGGCCGGGTGTCTGACACACACGGAAACCCGTCACCGTGACCGGTCGGGTGTCTGACACACACGGAAACCCGTCACTGGGACCGGCCGGGTGCCTGACACACACGGAAACCCGTCACTGTGACCAGTCGGGTGTCTGACACACACACGCGGAAACCCGTCACCGTGACCGGCCGGGTGCCTGACACACACGGAAACCCGTCACTGTGACCAGTCGGGTGTCTGACACACACACACGGAAACCCGTCACCGTGACCGGCCGGGTGTCTGATACACACGGAAACCCATCCCCGTTAGTTAGGGCTTTGGCCGCAGGGTTAACAGGAGCTGAGGGGGAGGATTCCCTGCCCCCAGTGATTGTTCTCCTCTGTGCTGTCACTAACCCATATAATATTGGTGCAGCCAGACAGCTTACCATTTAGCGCCACTTGACACCCTCTCAACATGAAAGGTGCTATTCCAGTGTAATTTTGTATTGTATTGGATTGTAGGCAGCCAGTTTGCCGTTGCAAAGTCTGGCAAACTTCCACCTGCTTGTGGAGCTAGAACCTCCTCTACCCACTGGCTTACGGGATTCAATCCAACCTGTGTTCACTGTCACAGCAGGGCTGGCCCTGTTTTGAGAGCGCGGCCTGGGAAGCTTTCCAGTTGCTTGTCCAGCTAGGATCACCCTACCTGTTGAGGCTGTGGCTTGCAGGGTTAACAGGAGCTGACTGGGATGACTCCCTGCTCCAGTGGGAGCGAGCAGGAGCTGGGAGCCCGGCCTACCTGCACAGTGTTATTTTAGGCCAGCGCTGTGTTTTGTCTTTGTGGAAGTTAAAACAGACTCTGGGCGGAAAGAATGCTGTGGGTTCCCAGGCATTACTCACATAGCCTGCCACTGAAGTCACCCTCTGGAACTAGTCCCATAAACTGTTCAAGAGAAAGACAGACCTCCTACTCAACCAGGGCACCTCAGCGGCTTGTGAGGTGCCTCCAGCCTGGACAACCAGTCAGTACCGGCCGCTCTGCCTCCTTGGGGCCTGAATGCACCCGAATCCAAGGCCAGGATATGATGGAAACGGGTAGCGTATTGGTTGGAGGAGGACCTGGGTTTGATTCCTGTGCAAAACCTCAGCTGATTTTCTTTACACCACACACACCTGTTTACCAGCAGTAAGTAGGAACCCAGTTGTTAATCGATTGGAGGATTGCTTTCCAGGGATAATAATCCCACAAAAAAAATTGTGGTCACTCAGTCCTTGACTGTTCGTGGGACGCTGCTGTGCGCAAATGGCTGCCATGTTTCGCCCACAAAATATACAGTCACTACACTTTACTGTAAAGTACTTTGAAACGTCTCGACGGCATGCTATATCAAATATGATTATTACCCGCGGGAACCCGGTTCTGCTAGATAAACAGAGGCGTGTGTGTGGAGTAAGGAAACTTGCCTAAGGTTTCGCTCCGACCGGGAAGTGAACCCGGGTCCTCCCGCTTGTGAGGCGAGCGCTCCAACCACTATACTCAGGGACTCCACAAATTACCTGGCTCCCAAATAGACACCAACTAGACTTGACTAAATTACCTGTGAAGTGCCTGACGATGCTTTGATGGTAAAGGCATTGAGTCAACATTTAACATTCCTACAAAGGTAATCCACTTCCATTGGAAACCAACCAACCAGGCCCTAATTGGATAGTCCATCCGCAGAGTATCAGCTTGGCTCAGTCGATCAAAGTCTCGTAGATTGTGGGTTCAAGCCCTAGAAATTACATCCACAGGGTGAGGGGATTGCAAAGAAACAAAGACATTTATTCATCTTAGCAGAAAGAAGATTGTACAAACGCTATCAATTAACTCTTAAGTGATAATGTGCGTTGGAAATTAGTATCACAAATATCTACAGCAGGAGAGTGGAATATTTCTGAAGGTTATTTAAACCCAAACTTTCTTTGAAAAAAGTATAATCACAAGAAACTAAGGAAGAAAAGAGTAACCTGCCTATTTAGTCCGAAGGCCGATTACTGGGTAGTGCAATTAGATACTGAGAAATTTCTCTACTTTGTATATTAATCACTTCTTTAGTTATATTTCTAGGGTAGAGGAAAAGAGCTGAGGGATGAGAGTCCGATTTGCTAGTTCCCGGTGTCCTGTCCGATAATTCCCCAAGTTAAAATCGCTCGCTCGCTTCACAGCTGTTTGTGGGGACGTCGCTGTGCGTAAACTGGCTGCCCCTTTTGGCCCACAATACTCACAGTCACTTTGCAGGAAAATCCTGTGAAGCGCTCCTAGAATGAAAGGTTATTTATAAATGGGATTTTCTGGGGTGTATTTTCAGGCAATTAGAATCCCGAGTCCCAGAAAAACAAGACTTGGGGAATTCTCTTCTCCCGCTCCCACCTTTTTTTCGGGATCAGCCAGTGTGAGGGTCAGACACAGGTAGGACTTTGTCAAGGAGGCACACTCGCTCCCAGCAGCCCACCAATCTCCCGGAAAATCCGCTCCCTCTATCATCCCTTTAGATTGCCTTTGGGAATGTCATCTGGGAACTTCTAACTGAGGTTAAGTCACATCGAGGCAAACCAGTAGCCTCAATAACCCGCGGTCCCCACAATCTATTTCATTTAAACAACTTATTGTTTCTTAAGAGATAACAGTGGAAGTCGCTTAAGCCGGACACGCCATTTTGTCCGGATTAAGGGGCGTCCGAGGTTAACCAAAGTTAACAAAAACCCTCACCTCTTGCTGCCCAGCCATGGCTTTTCCTCCCTCCCACTGTCGTTCCCATTGGATGGGCTCCAGCCAAATACAAGCGGCTCTAGCTGTCAATCAATTGCGATTTGACTCCTCCCATTCCCTCTCTTGTTCCCTCCCCGTTCCTCCACGCCCACGCCCCATCCCCCCCCCCCCCCCGCCGCACCAATTGGCAGCTGCTTGTGAATGGCTGGAGTCCACTGTCAATCAATAGATCAATCAATCGCAAAATCACTCTGCTCTCTAGCGCCTCCTGTGGCTCCAATCAGCTCTGAGTCCCTCCCCCCCCCCATCCCAGAGCTGCTCACAGCTGATTGGAGCCACAGAAGGCGCCAGAGAGCAGAGGCGTATTGTCCGGCTTAACCAGTCATGTGTCTGAAATAACAGGCATACTGACCCCCGGGACGAATACAAATGAACGTGGGGGGCGGGTGTTTTGTCTGATTTAACCAGCATCAACAGGCGCAAGCTAAAGTGGCTTCCACTGTATATTCAGAAGGATCTTTTTCTCTTCTCAACACCCAAGATGGTTTTCAGGATACGCCAGCCACTGAGATTGGGGTCTGGGGAAGGTCGGAATTCCTGGATGCGAGGAAACTTGACGAACACATCGGGCGGGAAATGGGTCTAGAATGGTCGGGGTGCAAGTCAGACAGGTGGGCACGTACGTGTTGGTGGGAAGAAGAGTTCGATCTCTTGCAGATTGCCTTCAGTTACCGATGAGAGAAACGTGTGTCTGTTGCCCAGCGCTGTCTCTCTCTCTGGAACAGTTTTTTTTCCCCCTCTCCAGTGGTCCCTCAACACTCCAGGGTCTCTGTCACCTCCACCGCTGTGTAGGCGGTTGGGCCTTGGGACAGCTGCCGGGTGAAGAATGATGCTGCTCGCTTGGGTTTGACCCGTTTGATTTCTTTTCCTGCGGGAGAGAGGGAGAGAATGTGTAAGAGAAAGAGAATGTGGGAGAGAAAGAGAGTGAAAGAGAGAAAGGGAAAACACAGGAATTATATGAGACAATTCTCACTGAATAATATGTAATATAATAATAATCTTTGCATTTAACATAGCGCCTTATCACATTCGAGACGTCTCAAAGTGCATCACAGAATATACTTTAAAGTGAACTGACTGTATTTTGTGAGCAAGACACAGCAGCCAATTGCACACAGCAGCGTCCCACAAACAGTCGTGGATCGATTGACCAACCAAATTATTTTTATTTTGGAGGGATTATTGCTCTAACCACGACAAGACTCCACAGGAATAACAGTCAGCGATGAGTCAATGCTGATAGATTGACTGATGCTCCGGCCTGGCTCAGTTGGTCTTGCTCTCGCTTCTGAGTCAGAAGGTTGTGGCTTCAAGCCCCCACGTTGGGACTTGGAATCATAGAGTCTAAGCTGACCTCCAGTGCAATATCGGAGGGACCATCCTTAGGGTTAGGGGCGCTATTCAAAAATCCATTGGGGCGCTATTCGAAAAGGGAGTTTCTTTCTCTCTCTTGGACGACAATTCCCCCCAATAAAAAAAATTGGTCGCTCAATCCATAGCTGTTTGTGGCGCAATTGGCTACAGCGTTTCACCCACAAAACACACCTTACAATATATCCTGTGAAGCGCTTTGAGACTTCTCAAAGATGTGATGAGGCGCGATATCAAAAGCAAGGATTATTATTATTATCGCAACCACTAACAACAACATGTGACATTTACACAGTGCCCATCACGTCAGGAGGATGTCCCAAAGCGCTGGACAGTCAGGGATCTGCACCCGAGCTGGAGGCTGGGATCTGGAGGGGTGGAGGGAGGGCAGGGATAGGAGGGTGACTGAAGGCGCAGTTGGTCGAAGAGGAGGGTCTGGAGACAGGCTTTGAAGGAGGTGAGGGAGGGGGCGAGGCGGAGGGGTTGTGGGATGGAGTTCCAGAGGGTGGGAGCAGAGAGGCTGAAGGCCCGACTGCTGATAGTGGGGTGGGCCGGGCGGGGATGTGAAGCAGCTGGAGCCCACTGAGCGGAGGGAGCGGACAGGTCAATACAAAACTTTGCCCCAGACTCAGGGTTTTCCCAGCAAGTCCTACACACATGCACACCACCTCTCTCTAATCTTCCCAGATTGTAGACACTAAAGCCTCTCTAGGTTAGTGCAGAGCTGGAGAGGCACCCCAGAGCTATGCCTCTCTGGGTTAGCTGTGCGATTTATGCCAGGGTTCTTTCGACTCACTTTCCTTTCTCCATAGATGCTGCCTGCTCTGCTGAATTTTCCCAGCTCCCTGTTTTTGTTTCTGTCTGTCCTGCATTGCCCAAGAGCACCTTCTCCTGGCAGAACTTGCCACTGCAGCACTGACAGCTGTTTGCAAACCTACCGCCAATTCTCCCCTCCCTCTGCCTCCGTGGTGGGCGCCTGTCGGAAGTCTGAATTGCAAATGAGCCTCAGGCGAGGGGGCTGCGTTAGGTCAGCAATCGGGAGCAAGAATATAATAATAATCCTGGCATTTGACCCAGTGCCTCTTCACGTCTTTGAGATGTCTCAAAGCGCTTCACAGGATACACTGTAAAGTGGAATTCTGTGGGTGAAACACGGCAGCCAATTGCACACAGCAGTGTCCCACAAACAGTCGTGAATTGAGTGACCAATTATTATCAGGTTCCTACTTACTGCTGGGTAAACAGAGGCGTGTGCGTGTGTGCGGAGTAAGGAAACTTGCCTACGGTTTCGCCCTGACCTGACCCGGCTGGGAATCGAACCCGGGTCCTCTCGCTTGCTAAGTGAGTTAGAGAACCGCCACACTCCAGGACTCTTGGGTTTGACCCAGCGCCTTTCACGTCAGGAAGACATCCCAAAGCGCTTCCCAGGATTCACGACGAATCGGGGCGACTGTGTTTTGTAGGTATATGCGGTAAAATGGTTACAACAGAGTAGCCCGTAAGAGAAAAAAAAATATAGGAGACACCGACGCATCGACCGACCGACCCGACAGACCAGACAGACGCACCAGACAGACAGACAGACTCGAAACACAAAACACTGCAGAGGCTGGAAATCCGAAACAAAAAACAGGAACCGCCGGAAAAACTCAGCAGGACAGGCAGCAATCCTGGAGAAAGGAAAGTGAGTCAACGTTTCGGGTCCACGACCCTTCGTCAAAACAGCTGGCCACTCACCCTCCTCCACGTAGTCGATGGTCGACAGCTGCTGGATGCGGTTAGCCACCACACTGTTCTGGCGTTTGAGTTTGCCACGTTTCTCTCGGGGTCTCGCCAGCGGAGGCTTGGCTGCTCCGGGCTCAGCCACGGGGGGCTCAAAGGCACTGTTGAAGTCGATGCAATATTCGATCATCCCACTCATCAGCTCGGCCTGGAAAACAGCACACAGGTCAGAGAGCTCGCCAAACACAGTCACTACACATGACAATGAAATCCCGTGAAGCGCTTCGAGACATTCTCCCGACAGGAAAGGCAATGTACCAAATGAAAGGATTATTATAATCCAATGTTCCAGGGCACTCGCCACACACAGTCACTTCATTTATTATAATAATAATCCTCACATTTGACATGTGGTGCTGCACTCTCTCACCTCTGAGGCAGAAGATTGTGGGTTCAAGTCCCCACGTCATGACTTGGAATCACAGAGTCTAAGCTGATGCTCCAATAATAATAATAATAATCGCATTTGACCCGGCACCTTACCACGTCTTCGAGACGTCTCAAAGCGCTTCACAGGATACACTGCAAAGTATAGTGACTATGTGTTGTGAGGGCAATACGTGGCAGCCGATCGCGCTCAGCGACGTCCCCACAAACAGCCGGGGGTTGAAGTGAACAAATTATTATTGTTTTGAAGGGATTATTACCCCCGAAAAGTGATCGCCCAATCGCCTGACAAGCGACTGACTGCTGGGGACACAGGCGTGTGGGGGTGTATGTGACTGACTGTGTGCGCGCGCATGAGACTGAGCGTGAGACTGTGCGCGTGTGAGACTGTGTACGTGTGTGAGACTGTGTGCGCATGCGCGCAAGACTGTGTGTGTGTGTGTGTGTGTGTGTGTGTGACTATGTGTGTGACTGCGTGTATGGGGAGGGGGGCGGGTAAGGAGACTTGCCTAAGGTTTCACCCTGACCTGAAATGACCCGCCCGGGAAACGAACCCGGGTCCTCTGGCTTGCGAGGCGATGGGTCTAACCCCTGAGCCACAGGGGCTGTGGCTTGCGAGGCGAGGGGTCTAACCCCTGAGCTACAGGGCTCCCAATGCACAGGCAGAACCACATCCTTCCCTACCTGTTTGGAGTAGATCTTTAGCAGTTTGTTCACCATTGCTCCCCCCTCCTCCTCTCCATCAAACTCCAGCAACAGCATGTCCTCCCCATCTTCGTCCTCCGAGCGCGTGTGGTCCCACGACAATTCGTGGAAGGCCAGAGCCACTAGCACGTGCTGGAGCACAGAGAGGATCAGCATTCAATCCTGGAATCATCATCACCACAACAACACATGGCATTCACATGGCGTCTCTCACGTCAGGAAGATGTCCCAAGGCGCTGGACAGCCAGGGGTTTGGACCCCAAGCTGGGGATTGGGGTGGAGATCGGGGAGGGTGGGGGCAGAAGAGTGACTGAAGACAACATCGAAGAGGAGGGTCTTGAGACGGGTCTTGAAGAAGGCGGGGGAGGGGGCACGGAGGAGGGACTGTGAAATGGAGTTCCAGAGGATGGGGGCAGAGAGGCTGAAGGCTTGACCACCAATGGTGGGGTTGAAATCCCCAGCTCGGGTCCAAAAAACTTGACTGTCCAGCGCCTTGGGAGGTCCTCCCGATATGAAAGGCGCTGTGCAAATATAATTTTGTTGTTGTTGTTCCCCCTCCTCACCCGCCCTCAGCTCTCCTCACAGCTCAGGTGCTTTTTTGGGGTCAGCCGACGCACATGGAAACCCGTCATCGTGACCAGCCGGGTGTCTGACACACACGGAAACCCGTCTCCGTGACCGGCCGGGTGTCTGACACACACACACGGAAACCCGTCACCGTGACCGGCCGGGTGTCTGACACACACACACGGAAACCCGTCACTGTGACCGGCCGCGTGTCTGACACACACGGAAACCCGTCACCGTTGCTTAAGAGTCTCCAAACCCGACTGAGAATTCCCCACATCCCCTCCACACCCGGAAACCCCAGAGAGAGATTGTCGGGATGGAATGCGCTCTCTCTCTCTCGCTCGCTCTCTCCCTGGCTTTTTTGTTCCAGTAATTTCTATGTTCCTACCTTCTCTTTACTGTCCATGATGGAAACTCCCCCCAGGCTGATGCCGATGTTCACTGGCTTCCTCGAGCCTCGGTGTAGGAAGCCCTGGGGCAACCGATCGATCTCACCCGAGAACACTGCACAGCTGAGAGAGACAGTGTGAGAGAGAGAATGTGAGAGAGAAGAGAGAGTGTGAGAGAGAGAGTGGGGGACAAAGGGAATGTGTGAGAGAGAGAGAAGAGTGTGGGCGAGAGGACACTCTTTATGTCCGTTTGAGTCACAAACCTAACATTTGCCCCTCGACAGCTTGCGTTTACACAGCGCCCTTCAAGTGGGGCAGAGTCTCAGAGCGCGTAACAGTGGCATAGCACGATGCCGACCCGGGGGAGGAGAGGAGGTGACCATACTCGCGGTCAATGAGGAAGGTCTACAGGTGCGATCTGAAGACGGGCAGAGAGGGGGTGAGGCGGAGGGGTAGAGGCAGGGAGTGAGAGATTCGGGGAGTAGCGGCTGAAAGAATGGCCGCCGAGGGTGGAGCTAAGGGGGGAGGGATGTGCAGGAGGATGGAGCTGGCTGAGCGGAGGGGACAGTGGGCATTCAGCTGCATTAAATACAACCCAGCCCCACCCCACACACCCACAGCCCCCCACCCCACCCCGCACTCAGCCCCCCACCACCCACCCCACCCCACCCACACAGCACCCCCCACACCCCCTCTCCCCTGTCAGCCTACCCATAGTACGGCAGTAGGTGACACCTCTGCAGATACTCCTTGTGATGATGTTTCACTGCCTCGGCCTCCTCACAGGCCGCTCCGTCTGTCAACTGCTGGTAAGCTTCCCGGAGTTCCTCCTCGTGTCCGTGCTGCTTCCCTCCACGACCCCGGAACGCCGCCAGGAAGCCTCCCGCCTTCTTGCACAGGTGTGCGGGCAGGAACAAGGCAAGCTTATCCCTGTAGGCACAGAGGGGGTCATCAGTTATATGAGCACAAGCAATGCTGGACTGAAAAGACGGGGATGATGCTGTGGGCTCTGGCCCGCCCCACCATCGGCGGTCAGGCCTTCAGCCTCTCTGCCCCCACCCTCTGGATCTCCAAACCACAGTCCCTCTGCCTCGCTCCCTCCCTCCCTCGCCTTTATCAAGGCCCGTCTCAAGACCCTCCTCTTCGACTGCGCCTTCAGTCACCCCTCCTACCCCCACCCTCCCTGCCCTTCAGCCCCTCCTGATCCAACCCCCAGCTCGTGTTCAAATCCCTGACTGTCCAGCGCCTGGGGACGTCCTCCCGACATGGAAGGCTCTATGTGAGTGTAACGTGTTGTTGTTGTTGCTTTACCATGTGAAGCGCAGTGACTGGGTGTATTGTGTTCGAACGGCAGACAACAGACGAGACAACTTAATGGTTACAGTCGGTCCAACGTCTTTCACGTCGGGAGGAACGTCCCAAAGCGTCTCACGGTGTATAGTCTAAAGCGCGGCGACTGTGTGTTTTGGAGACGGACATCTCTCTGTGTCTGGCCTTTCCTCTCCTTTCTCCTCCCCCGTCTCTTCTCCTCTCTCCCCTCCTCTCCTCTCACCGGAAGAAGTTGTGTGTATGCTGTGCCTGGTCAAACGGGCCCAGCTCGACTCGACAGGCGATGGCTCCCAGCTGCCGGCAGTCCTCCATGTCGCAGGGGTAACGGCCCTCCAGGATGTTAGCCTTGGCCTCCTCGTACAGCAGCCTGAGGATCCTGTCGTTTTCCACCTGCCACAAAGGCGGGATCACAACGGGCCACAACAATAACAACAACAACAACAACCCTGGCACTCGCCCGACCCACCGGCTCCCCATCCCCCAGAGGATCGAATTCAAGATCCTCGTCCTCACTTTCAAGGCCATCCATGGACTTGCTCCCTCCCTCCGTTCAGCGGGCTCCAGTCTGCTCCATGTCTCCTGCCCGACCCGCCCTACCATTGGTGTCCAGGCTTTCAGCCTCTCCTCCCCCACACTCTGGAACTCCATCCCACGGTCCGGTCATCTCGCTTCCTCCCTTGCCTCCTTCAAGGCCGGTCTCAAGACTGTCTTCTTCGATCGTGCCATTGGTTGCCCTCCCACCTCTCTGCCTTCCCTCTCCCCTCCCCCACCTCTCCCTCATGCTCAGGTCCTGACCCCTGACTGTCCAGCACCTTGGGATGTCCTCCCAACATGAAAGGCCCTCTATAAATGTAATTTTGTTGTTGTTGGCACTTGACACAGCACCTTATCACGTCTTCGAGACGTCTCAAAGCACTTCACAGGATAGTATAGTGACTGTGTGTTTTGTGGGCGAAACGCGGCTTCCAATTGCGCCCAGCGACGTCCCCACAAACAGTCGTGGATTGAAGTAACCAAATCATTTGTTTTTTTGTTGGAGGAATTATTAGCCGCGGAAAAACGATCCGCTGGGATCCCACTGACTGCTGGGAAACAGTAAGCTACAGAACTGCACTCCACTAAAAATCATTCATAACGTGGTTCCGGAGCACAGTGGTTAGCGCACTCGCCTCACAAGTGAGAGGACCCGGGTTCAATTACTGGGGTGGGGGGGACAACAACAACCTGCACTTATATAGTGCCCCAACACGCGGGGGCACGCACAGTTGAAGATGAGGTCTTTAGGCGGGACTTGAAGGAGGTAAGAGAGGGGCTGAAGTGGAGGGATTGCGGGATAGTGTTCCAGAGTGTTGGGGCAGAGTGCTGAATGGCCGATCGCCAATGGTGGGGCGGGGAAGTGCAGGGGATATGGCGCAGGCCGGTGCCCGCTCAGTGGAGAGGCTGATACGGGGTAAGTTTCCGAAGGGAAGAGTGAAGGGGACCCACCTGAAGTTCCCTGACTTTGGGGAAGAAGACATTTCTCCGGAACTGCAATGAAGGTTCATCTGTCAGTCAAGTGGAAAAATAAGATGGTTGGAAAAGCCGGGCCATCGACAAATAAGTAATGTTTGCACTAACTCAGCACCCAGAGGGGAGGGCTCAGTGCTATAATCGAGCAGTGCCACTATCTACCGGCCAACGGAGAATCATAGAATCTCACAGCACAGAAGGAGGCCATTCGACCCATCGTGCCTGTGCTGGCTCTTTGAAAGAGCTACCGACTAGTCCCACTCCCCCCCGCTCTTACCCCAACTTGTCCCACTCCCCCGCTTTTGGAAATTATCTTAAATAATAGTAATATTAATAACAATCCTTGCATTTGATGTAGTGCTTTTCATGTCTTCGAGACGTCTCAAAGCGCTTCACAGAATATACTGTGAAGTGAATTGACTGCATATTTGTGGGTGAATCGAGGAGGCGGGCACGTATGTGTGTGTGGAATAAGGAAACTTGCCCTACCTTTCGCCCTGACCCGTTCGGGAATTGAACCTGGGTCCTCTCACTTGCGAGGCTCCAACCACTGAGCTACAGGGACTCCAAATAGTCCACAGGTACTCTATCTAGGGTATCGATCTGTACCAACCCAGGCAGTCTCCGCTCAGTGGGCGCTGGCTAGCTTCACAACCCCTGCCCCACCTCGGCCTCAACACTCACCCTGAATGATATCATCAGCAGAGCAGTTGGTGAAGCGGTAGAGCAGGTCCGGCCACTGGCGGCACAACTTGTAGGGCAGGTGCTTAGGCTTCAGCTGCAACTCTGTGGGACACAACGACGACAACAATTAATTACATTTATATATTACATAATAATAATAATAATAATAATCCTTGCATTTGATATAGCGCTTTTCACGTCGGGAGGACGTCCCAAAGCGCTTCACAGAACACACTGTAAAATGAATTGACTGTATATTTGTGGGCGAACGCGGCAGCCAATTGCGCACAGCAATGTCCCACAAACAGTCGTGGATTGAAAATGACCAATTTATTATTGTTTTGTTTTGGAGGGATTATTATTAGGCTCTGTGTGGAGTAAGGAAACTTGCCCGAGGTTTCGCCCTCTGCCTGGAATTGAACCCAGGTCTCTCGCTCGCAAAGCGAGTGCTCTAACCACTGAGCTACAGGACTCCATAATAATCCTTGCATTTGATACAACGTCTTATCACGTCCCCAAGACGTTTCAAAGCGCTTCACAGAATATACTGTAAAGTGTAGTGACTGTATATTTGTGGGCAAAACGCAGCAGCCAATTGCGCACAGCAGCGTCCCACAAACAGTCGTGGATTGAGTGACCACATTATTATTTTTTTTGGAGGGATTATTATCCCCAGGAAAGCAATCCGCTGATCGACTAACAACTGAGTTCCTACTTACCGTTAGGTAGACAGAGGTGTGCGTGCGTGGAGTAAGGAAACTTGCCTAAAAGGTTTCGCCCTGGCCGGGAATCGAACCCGAGGCAAGCACTCTACAGGACTCCATTCACTGTGACTCTGAGGGCACACACACACACACGAACTTCACACTTTGGGGGGGAGGGGGGGTGATGTGTGAACATTTTTTAAACGCTTGTGTGTAAACTCAAACACAGGAGTATATTCTGCACGGAGCCAAGGTAAACTAGTGGGCGGTTTGCGAGGTTCCGGGAGTCGGGTCAGGGTTACCTCCTGACGCACTACATGACCACTTGCCCCCCGGACAGACAGCACCGCTTTGTGGAGATTTTTCGGACGATCTCTCGAGAAATCAGCCAACATCTCCAGGAGCGTTTGATGTTGCGAGAAGGAGCCTGAGGGAATCGGCAGCCTTGTTCCTGCTACAGACCAGAGCAAACACCAGGATTCCTGTCAGCTTCTAACAGCCTCTCACCTCAAAGAAGTGCTGAAGTGCTTCGAAGGGAACTGGGTAAATAATAACAATAACTCACATTTACACAGCGCCTTTCACGTCAGGAGGATGTCCCAAAGAGCTCTACAGTCAGGGATTTGGACCCGAGCTGGTGACTGGGACCAGGAGGGGGTGGAGGGCAGGGAGGGTAGGGGTAGGAGGGGGAAATCGAAGGCGCAGTCAGAGGAAGGTCTTGAGACGGGCCTTGACGGAGGCAAGGGAGGGGCGAGGCGGAGAGACTGTGGGGTGGAGATCCAGAGGATGGGGGCAGAGAGGCTGGAGGCCTGACCGCCGATGGTGGGCAGGGCATGTGGAGCAGGCCAGAGCCCGCTGAGTGGTGGGAGCCAGGAGAGCATAGGGGAATGGGATTAGAGGAGAGAGCTCCAGTGGGGGAGCGAGCCCCAGCAAAGACACGATGGGGAGAGAGAGAGAGCAGGGAATGGGGTTAGTGAGCACCAACACAGACACGATGGGGAGAGAGAGAGAGAGAGAGAGAGCAGGGAATGGGGTTAGTGAGCACCAACACAGACACGATGGGGAGAGAGAGAGAGAGAGAGAGAGAGAGAGCAGGGAATGGGGTTAGTGAGCACCAACACAGACACGATGGGGAGAGAGAGAGAGAGAGCAGGGAATGGGGTTAGTGAGCACCAACACAGACACGATGGGGAGAGAGAGAGAGAGAGAGAGAGCAGGGAATGGGGTTAGTGAGCACCAACACAGACACGATGGGGAGAGAGAGAGAGAGAGCAGGGAATGGGGTTAGTGAGCACCAACACAGACACGATGGGGAGAGAGAGGGAGAGAGAACGAGGGAGAGAGAGAGAGCAGGGAATGGGGTTAGTGAGCACCAACACAGACACGATGGGGAGAGAGAGAGAGAGAGCAGGGAATGGGGTTAGTGAGCACCAACACAGACACGATGGGGAGAGAGAGAGAGAGAGAGAGAGAGCAGGGAATGGGGTTAGTGAGCACCAACACAGACACGATGGGGAGAGAGAGAGAGAGAGAGAGAGAGCAGGGAATGGGGTTAGTGAGCACCAACACAGACACGATGGGGAGAGAGAGAGAGAGAGAGCAGGGAATGGGGTTAGTGAGCACCAACACAGACACGATGGGGAGAGAGAGAGAGAGAGCAGGGAATGGGGTTAGTGAGCACCAACACAGACACGATGGGGAGAGAGAGAGAGAGAGAGCAGGGAATGGGGTTAGTGAGCACCAACACAGACACGATGGGGAGAGAGAGAGAGAGAGCAGGGAATGGGGTTAGTGAGCACCAACACAGACACGATGGGGAGAGAGAGAGAGAGAGCAGGGAATGGGGTTAGTGAGCACCAACACAGACACGATGGGGAGAGAGAGAGAGAGAGCAGGGAATGGGGTTAGTGAGCACCAACACAGACACGATGGGGAGAGAGAGAGAGAGAGCAGGGAATGGGGTTAGTGAGCACCAACACAGACACGATGGGGAGAGAGAGAGAGAGAGCAGGAATGGGGTTAGTGAGCACCAACACAGACACGATGGGAGAGAGAGAGAGAGAGAGAGAGAGAGCAGGGAATGGGGTTAGTGAGCACCAACACAGACACGATGGGGAGAGAGAGAGAGAGAGCAGGGAATGGGGTTAGTGAGCACCAACACAGACACGATGGGGAGAGAGAGAGAGAGAGAGAGCAGGGAATGGGGTTAGTGAGCACCAACACAGACACGATGGGGAGAGAGAGAGAGAGAGAGAGAGCAGGGAATGGGGTTAGTGAGCACCAACACAGACACGATGGGGAGAGAGAGAGAGAGAGCAGGGAATGGGGTTAGTGAGCACCAACACAGACACGATGGGGAGAGAGAGAGAGAGAGCAGGGAATGGGGTTAGTGAGCACCAACACAGACACGATGGGGAGAGAGAGAGAGAGCAGGGAATGGGGTTAGTGAGCACCAACACAGACACGATGGGGAGAGAGAGAGAGCAGGGAATGGGGTTAGTGAGCACCAACACAGACACGATGTAAATGTTTTACTAACAGGAGAATGTTTGTCTTGGTTTCCGCTGTCACCCATTACTGAGCACTCAGCATGTTGTTCCATTAGGAGTTAGGATAATGGACTACACAAACTGAACAGGAATCCATCTGGCCCTCAGGCAAACTTTAAACTCCTTTCAGCCGTCATCTGAATTTCGTGGGCATGAGAGGGTGTGTGACAGTGGGACACTGCTGTGTGCAACTGGCTGTTGCATTTCACCCACAAAATATAGTCAATCCTACTTACAGTATATCCTGTGAAGCGCTTTGAAACGTCTCAATGACGTGATCAGTCGCTATATCAAATGTAAGGATTATTATTATATTATTATCGTAAATGAGGCAAATACATACTTATACTCCCGAGTCTGAGCGTTTAACAATAGCGCAGTTTGACGGGTTGGTGACTGTTGTCATGGCCGCAGAGAAGGCTCTTTGAGTGCGATCTGAAAATGGGCGGCGGGGGGGGGGGGAGGGGAAGAGAGATAAAGTCAATGAGCCCTCCCAACTCTTGCAAGTCTGTGTACCTCAGTAAGTAGGAACCCAGTTGTTAGTCGATTGGTGGATTGCTTTCTTTTTTTGGAGGGATTATACCCCCAGAAAGCGATCCACCGATCGACTAACAATCAGGTTCCTGCTGACTGCTAGGAAATCAGAGTGTGTGTGGATTAAGGAAATTTGCTTAAGGCTTTGACCTATACAGGTCCTCTGACTTGTGAGCACTATGTAATAAAAATAATCCTGGCATTTGATACAGCGCCTGATCCCGTCTTCAAGACGTCTCAAAGCGCTTCACAGGATACACTGTAAAGTGAATTGACTGTATGTTTGTGGGCGAAACGAGGCAGCCAATTGCGCACAGCAGCGTCCCCACAAACAGTCGTGGATGGAGTGACCTTATCATTATTTTTTTTGAAGGGCGCTCTAACCACTATGTGACTCCACATACTAATATCCCAAGTTAAGACAATACCCTGCTCCGAAATTTCCTCCTTTATTTTTATTTAAAAAAAACAATCTGTGTGGGGGATGGGGGGGAATGAGCTCATTTCGGTCAAAGGGCTGACTGACTCGATGACTTTCACAAGCAGACAATACAGTTATTGTGACCATGCAAATCCTTGCTGTTTAACTAACTCCCGGGCTTGTGTGTCTTACTTAATGCCCAGTCACTGGGGGCAAGGAATCCTCCCCCTCAGCTCCTGTTAACCCTGTGAGCCAAAGCCCTATCCAATGGGTAGGTGGTCCTAGTTGGACAAGCATAAGAAATGCTAGACGAAAAAAAAAGAACAAGGTCCATCTAGTTCGCCTTTCACCTTCCTGACGGTCACATGCAGACACGTCCCAAACAACCTATGTACTATATCCCATAATGTTATCTAATCTGTGTTTAGATATTTCATAAACATTTTTTAGGAACATTTCCGGCTTCAACCGTCTCCCTAAGCAGCGGGAAATCTTCCCAGACAGCAATATCAATGACAAGCTATGTAGTTTTAGCTGGTTAGACTCCAGCAGTTACCCCAACACATACTCGGGGCTCCCCCCAAGCCTTGGCTCTTGCCCAACCTGCAACTAATACTTTCCGGAATTAGGTAAGCAGGATGTGTCCCTCCAGGGAGAGAGGGAGAGAGAGAGCGCATTCCATGTCAACAATCTATCTCTGGGGCTTCCATGTGTAGGTGGGATGCCTGAAATTCTCAGCTTGTTTTGGAGACTCTTAAGCAACGGTGATGGGTTTCCGCATGTGTCAGGCTGACACACACACACACAAAAAAAAAATCCATTCATTCACTCTCTGTGGATCAGTTCAATGGCAGGGCACGATGCTAAGCATTCAGTGCATCTGCATAGATCAGAAGTGTGCATAGTCTCATTAATTTCTCTCCCTCCCCCCATCCCCCCACTTACAAAACAAAAAGGGGCCCAGTTATACAATCTACAACAACAGCTAAAATTCTGGTGCACAGCCCAAACCTTAAGGGGGTGGGAGTCAACTGTGCATCAGACTGGCTCAGTCGCTCACACTATCGCCTCACAAGTCAAAAGGCTGCAGCTTCAAATCCTCACGAGGACTTGGAACTTATATAATATAATAATCTTTGCATTTAATATAGCACCTTATCACTTCTTCAAGACGTCTCAAAGCACTTCACAGAATGTACTCTAAAGTGAATTGACTGTATATATTTTGTGGGTGAAACTTGGCAGCCAATTGCACACACCGACATCCCATAAACAGTCATGGTTTATGGGATAGAGGTGGCCTCTATCTGTGAGTCTATATACTGTATCCCCAGATATTATTTTCTAGCAGAAATCTATCTCATTTGCTCTTGAAACAGATTGACATTTTCTGCTTCCACCATCTGTCTTCCTCGGGAGCCTGTTTCATAACTGTTTCATAGGCTGTGGAGACTCACCCAGAAAGGGGGAGATGAGCCAGAGGGAGAAGATCTCCTGGGCCTGATCGGGTAACTGCAGTGATTCCCGGACCATCCTACTGAGCTCGCCCGCTGTGATACAGCCCAGGTTCTCGACCAGGAGCTGAACGACTGTGTCGTTTGCCAGGTACACCAGGATCGCTGGATCTGAGGGGAGAATAGAGAGAGACTGAAAATCAGAATCAGTGCATTGTGGAGTGGTATCTGTGTGCTCCCTCGCCTCGCAAGCGAGAGGACCCGGGTTCGATTCCCGGGCGGGTCAGAGTTAAACCTTAGGCAAGTTTCCTTACTCCATACACACCTGGCAGTAAGTAGGAACACAGGAAAACTGTTGTTAGTCAATTGCGGATTGTTTTCCGGGAATAATAATCCCTCCACAAACGAAATTAATAAACAATGAGAATTTGGTCACTCAATCCACGACTGTTTATGGGACACTGCTGTGCGGAATTGGCTGCCGTGTTTCGCCCACAAAATACAGTCACTACACTTTATAGTATATTCGGCAAAGTGCTTTGAGACGTCTTGAAGACATGATAAGGCGCTGTATCAAATGCAAGGATTATTATTATTATCACTAGATTAAGGATTGATATGATTTATTATATTAAGGATTAATATTAATTATTATTACTGCGAGAGGAAGGTAACTCACTCCTGGCCACAGTGGAGGACACGCTGCCTCGATGAGAGCCACCGGCCGAATCCGGTAGATTTCCCGATTCATTTGGATCCATCTGGAACAACACAAGGAATTCACTGCAGCAGGAAATCTCTTTCCCTGTGTCCTGGCCAACAATCCCCCAGATAAAATCGCTCATTCATTTCACGCCCGTTTACAGACGTCCCTGTGCACAAATTGGCTGCCTCATTCACCTACTAAATACAGTCACTACACTTATATTAATAATAATGATCTTAAATCACCTCAAAACCCTTCACAGAATACACTGTAAAGTGAATTGTCTGTATATTTCGCGGGCGAAATATAGTATCTGGAATGCAATGCTTGAAAGAGTGGTGGAAGCAGATTCAATAATATTTTTTGGCCCACAAGATATACAGTCAATTCATTTTACAATATAGTCTGTGAAGTGCTTTGAAATGTCCTCCCAACAGGAAAGGGGTTATATTCAAATGCAAGGATTATCATCATTATAATAGGACAATCTTCCAAAAGGAGGAGATTAGAAACTATGTACATTTTCTAACAGCGCCTTTCATGTGAGGAGGACATCTCAAAGCGCTTCACACTTTCACCTCCTGACTAGCTTTCAAATGTTAGAAACAATAATTGGATTTACACAGCGCCCTTCAAGTGAGGCAGAGCCTGAGCTCTGAACAGTGGCGGAGTCTGACCCCAAGTCGGGGAGAGAGCAAGAGCGGGGAGGTGACCATTGGCGCAGTTGAAGAGGAAGTCTTCAGGTACAATCTGAAGACAGACAAAGAGGGAGGTGTGGAAGTATGGAGTGAAAGAGACTCGGGGAGCAATGGCTGAAAGCACGGCTGCTAATGGTCGAGCAGAGGGGCACGAGGGACAAAGGAGAAATTATTCAGACAACTGTGCGCAAGAAATCACTAAATAAAGCAGGGATGTTACTGTCGGTGGGGAAGAGGAGGTGGGGATGGGGAAGAGGCGTCTTAACTGTGTCATTTGTTAACAAACACAAGGTCATTTCTCTTCCATCCCTAAATACAGTACAATGAACATGGCTTCGACATACTGGCTCCTTTCTGACAGCTACAAGTGGTTAATAATCTCTTTCAGTGCATCTATTGTCAAAATATTTCCACTGTTATTTATAATAACACTTGCATTTGATATAATGCCTTTCCACATTGTTGAGACATCTCAAAGCGCTTCACAGAATATATTGTACAGGGAATTGACTGTGTATTTTGCAGGTGAAACACAACATCTAATTGCACAAAGCGGTTTTCCACAAACAGCCATGGATTGAGTGATCAATTTTTTTTGAAGGGATTACCGCCGGGAAGCAATCCACCAATCGACTAATGACCGGGTTCCTACTTACTGTTAGGTAAACAGAGGCGTGTGTATGGAGTAAAGGAACTTGCCAAAGGTTTCGCCGTGACCCGCCTGGGAATCAAACCCCGGTCCTCTCGCTTGTGAGGCGAGTGCTCTAACCATTACGCTACAGAGCTCCTGTTAGTCGGTAAATCCCAGGGCTGTGTGTTGATCACTTCCTTGCAGCTGCCAGAAGGGTTCCATTTTCCAGAGTAGCTTAATGCTCTCACAATTGCTTTCATTAATGCCTCGGAATCAATGAAAAATCACCCAATGCAACAGCAATATTATATTACCGCTGTTATTATCTTTGTTGGCACAGGCTGATAATATGATATGCGTTTTTTTCCCCCCACATAAGTCAGAGCTTTAACAGCACTAATACTGGCTTCCTGTGATTCTAACGAGACTACAAATGATCTTGTGTGGGAAGGTTACTCTGGGAATAGGAATCCTCCCCCTCAGCTCCTGCAGCCAAAGCCCTAACTAACGGGTAGGGTGGTCCTAGCTGGACAAGCAGCGGGAAAGCTTGGCAAACAGCGCTCTCTCTCTCTCTCTCTCTCTCTCAATGGCCAAGCTACATGGGTTTAGCTGGTTACCCCAACGCACACTCTGGGCTCCCCCCAAGGCTTGGTTCTTGCCAACCTGCACCTAATACTCTCCGGAATTAGATAAGCAGGAGAAATCCCTCATGGAGAGAGAGAGAGCACATTCCATTCCAACAATCCATCTGTGAGATTTAATAATAATAATCCTTGCATTTGATATAGCGCTTTCCACGTCTTCTCGACGTCTCAAAGCGCTTCACAGAACACACTGTAAAGTGAATTGACCGTATATTTGTGGGCGAACGCGGCAGCCAATTGCGCACAGCAATGTCCCACAAACAGTTGTGGATTGAAAATGACCAATTTATTATTGTTTTGGTTTTGGAGGATTATTATTAGGCTCTGTGTGGAGTAAGGAAACTTGCCCGAGGTTTGGCCCTCTGCCGGGGATTGAACTCAGGTCTCTCGCTCGCAAAGCGAGTGCTCTAACCACTGAGCTACAGGACTCCACATTTCCTCTACATTTCCAGGTGTAGGTGGGATGCATGGAATTCTCAGTTGGGTTTGGAGACTCTTAAGCACAGTGATGGGTTTCCGCGTGTGTCAGACACTGACCTGACTGTTGACTTCTATTTAAATCCCCTCAAAATCAAAAGGGTTCAGTACTTGATTCAAAGCCCTCCGTGACCTCACTCCTCCCTACCTCTGTGATCTGCTAACTCCATACTGACCTGTCTGCTCCCTCCACTCAGCGGGCTTTCGCCTGCTCCATGACCCCCACCCTGCCTGCCCCACTATCGTTAGTTGGGCCTTCAGCCTCCCGGCCCCCCCTGCTCTGGAACTTCATCTCACAGTCTCTTCACCTCGCCCCATCCCATGCCTCCTTCAAGACCCGCCTTAACACCCTCCTCTTCAACCAACCGCACCTTCGGTCACCCTTCTACCCCGCACCCTCCCTGCCATCCACCCCTCATGATCCCAAACCCCAGCTAGGGAGGAGGTTGGGATCAGGAGGGGTGGAGGGCAGAGAAGGTGGGGGTAGAAGGGTGGGGGGAGAGAAAGAGCGGGGGAGAGTGAGGAGAGAAAGAACGGGGGAGAGTGAGGAGAGAGAGTGGGGAGGGAGGGAGAAAAGAGCAGAGGGAGAGGGAGGAGAGAAAGAGTGGGGAGGGAGGGAGGAGAGAAAGAGCAGGGAGGGAGGGAAGAGCAGGGAGGGAGGGAGGGAAGAGCAGGGAGGGAGGGAGGGAAGAGCAGGGAGGGAGGGAAGAGCAGGGAGGGAGGAAAGGGGAGGGAGGGAGAAGAGAAAGATGAGGGAGGGAGCAGAGAAGGAGCAGGGAGAGAGGAGAGAAAGAGCGGGGAGAAAGTGAGGGGGGTTGTGGGAAAGGGGAAAACTTTCCGAGGCCCTGTGTATTGTTTCAGAGTAAAATCAAAGTGAGTAAATAGCCACGTGACTGACCCGAACTGAGGGTGCCTCAGGGTGAGTCACTTGGCAGCTTTACTCCACAATAATGGCAGCAGCAGCAGTCGGGCTCTGTCTGCTCTGCTCTGAGAAACTCCACAAACAACGATTCATACTGTTTTACCCTTCCTTAGAATCGTAGGATCTTGCAGCACAGAAGGAGGCCATTCTACCCATCGGGGCCTGTGCTGGATCTTTGGAAGAGCCACCAACTGATCGGATTCCCCCCATTCTTACCCACCTAAGTCCCCGCTCCCCCCAGCCTTCAGACGGAGAGCTTCACGGTGGTGTAATCTGACAACAAGTCAGTGAGAGAGGGAGGAGGGGAGGTGACTGTAAGCACAATCAAAAAGGAGGGTCGTTAGGCGGGATTGGAAAGTGGGTAGGGAGAGGGCAAGGCGGGGGAATCAAGGGAGAGAGTTCCAGGGTTTCGGGGTGTAGTGGCTGAACGTCCGGCCACCGACACACCATAGCTATGCACGTTTTCCATTTTCACATAGGTATCCTGTACCCGTTTGAAAGCTCCTATCGAATCTGCTTCCACCACCGGTTCAGGGCCGTGCGTTCCAGACCGTAATTACAAACTCTCTGCACAGACACACTCTCCTCATCTCCCCTCTCGTTCTTTTGCCAATTATCTTAAATCTGTGCCCTCTGGTTACCGGCCCACGCGCCCGCCACCAGAAATAGTTTCTCCCCATCAGCTCTGTCAGTAAACACTGAGCACAGTTGGCGACTACGTTTCAGCCTCAAAATATACAGTCAATACACTTTACAGTGTATCCCGTGAAGCGATTTGAGACGTCTCGAAGGCGTGACAATACACTCTAATCAAATGCAAGGATTATTTTATTGTAACACCTCAATGAAATCTCTCCTTAATCTTCTCCCTATTTGACTCTTCTCAAAACCCTCCATAGTTGCGAACACCTCCAGTAAAGCTCGACTCAATCGTCTTCCCTATTGACTGTATCCCGTCACACACGACCGACCTTTTTAACGAGGGTGGGAAGGAGTGAAAGCAATGCAGATACTCACTGTGAAAGGCACGGGATGTTTGGAGAGTTCAGCCCTTGGGTCACTGAGCCAGACCCTCACTCACTCACTCACTTACCGCCTCCCTCCCTCACACTCTCTCCCTCACTCACTCACTTCCTCTCTCTCTCACTTCCTCTCTCTCTCTCCCCCTCACATACTCCCTCCCTCCCACTCCCCCTCTCTCCTCCCACTCCCCCTCTCTCCCTCCCACTCCCCCTCCCTCCCACTCCCCCCCCTCTCCCTCCCACTCCCCCTCTCTCTCCCTCCCACTCCCTCTCTCTCCCTCCCACTCCCCCTCTCTCTCCCCCCACTCCCCCTCTCTCCCTCCCACTCCCTCTCTCTCTCCCTCACACACACCCTCCCTCTCACTCTCTCCCTCCCACTCCCCCTCTCTCCCTCCCACTCCCCCTCTCTCTCCCTCACACACACCCTCCCTCTCACTCTCTCCCTCCCACTCCCCCTCTCTCTCCCTCCCTCTCTCTCACTCTCTCCCTCCCACTCCCACTCTCTCTCCCTCACACACACCCTCTCTCTCACTCTCTCCCTCCCCCTCTCTCTCCCTCACACACCCTCACTCTCTCTCTCCCTCACCCTCAGGCTTCTCTTCCCTACAGTTTCCGTACAATTCGCGCATGCGCACTAAACCACAGCAGATCCCGCTCTGGGGCCGCAGTGCACGCCGGGAATCGTAGTCTCTCCCTCCCCGCCGAAAGACCCACTGCGCTTGCGCGCCTGCAGCCCCGCCCGCGCACGCCGGAGGGACACTGGGAGTTGTAGTTCCTTCCTTTCCCGCCGCCGCCGCCGCCGCCAGGCTCACAATGCGCACGTGCACGGCCTTCAACCGCCCTCCCTCACTTGTCATCGTCGACGCTCTCTTCCCACCTGAGAGGGCGTCCGTGGACCCTCTCTTCACCTCAGGGGCGGCCGTTACTCTCCCCTCCCCCTCCCCCTCCCCCCTCAGCGCCTCCCCCGCGCTCCCACAGCTGCCGCCATTCTCACTCACCTCGTCACCCGCCGCTATCAAAACTTCTCGAGATCTCCCCCGCGCGCACGTCACCCCTGTGACGTCACCAGCCCCGCCCTCCGCCCGTCCTTCCCTGCCGCGTGCAGCAAGCCAACGGTCACACGAGGGGAGTGTGCTGGCGGCCCCCGGGCCGCATCCGGCCCGCCATCCGTTCCCCAACTTCGGTGTCCAACGAGCAAGTCCAAACGACACGCGGACCCAACCAGGACATGGTCACCAGGGTTTCGGGACATACCCGGCAAGGCAAATGGCTAACCAGCCCTCAAGTGAACGAGTCGAAATACAAGTAACAATTTGCATTTATATAGTCCCTTTCACAACAGGAGCGCTTTATCATGTCATTGAAACGCCTAAAAGCGCTTCAGAGTATACTGTCAAGTGAATTGGCTGTGTATTTTGTGGGCGAAAGTGTTAAGCATCATACGTGTGTCACTCAGTCAGCGAGTCCCGCCAATATAATCCTTTTAATATAAATCATACATTTATACGATACATTATACATCTGTCAAGATTGTCGTTTTCGTTCTGTTCAAGTAAAACTCGTTTTAAATCTCTGGTGTTTTTCTTTCTCTCAGTTTTTGTCGGAATACAATTTCTCATCAGGAAAAATAGTCACTGTTACAAAATATAGTGCTCGATTTACAAATATCTGCGCGGTATAATGTTAGAAAAAATACTTTCTCTTGAAGTCATCCCACCTTTTCCCAGACACGCTGGGGTGTGGGATCCTCGGTAAAAATGAGTAAAATGGCTCACTGATGAACGTCGGGAACCCCTGAACTCCATAACACACCCAACAAAAGCACCATTAGGAAAGGCCGTCAACATGGGTTCCTACTGTATTGCTCCACAGGACAACTGTCTTAGTGCTGCAGTCGTTTACGCAGGTTTGGGGGATGGGTGAGGATTGAGGGAGGGAGGAGGGAGGGAGGGAAGGAGGGAGGGAGCTCTGAATTGCTCACACGCGCAACGTATGTCTCGAAACAGCTTCCTCCCTTTTGTGAATAAACGCCTGCTCGGCTTTGCTGATCCAGGGCCGGTGAGTCCAAGAGGTCACGGAATCCATGGACAAGGGAGTAAAACAGTTATCCAAATTTCAGTTTGCAGAGACGTTAAATTGTCGGGAATAATGGCGTGTGCCATGGTGGGTTTGCCCACTGCAACACATTTAATAATAATAATCCTTGCATTGGATATAGCGCCTTAACACGTTGTCGAGACGCCTCAAAGCGCTTCACCAAGTGGGATTGACTGCTATTTTTTGTGACCACATATTTTTGGCGGGAAGGACTATTACCCCCGGAAAGCGATCCGTCGATTGACTAACAACCGGGTTCCTACTTACCGCTGTGGGGAGTAAAGAAACTCCCCTATAGCTCAACTGGGACGGGAGTCCTGAAGGGAGTCACAGGAAAGTGCCTGCGTTTTGTGGGCGAAACGCGGCCGCCAATTTGCGCACAGCCACACTCCGCAAACAGCCGGGCAATGACTGACCAATTTCATATTTGGGGGATTGTCGGGCAGGACAGCGGGAGGGACCCTTCTCTTTTCACATAGCGCAGCGGGAGATCTTTTATGAACAAGGCAGACAGAGGGAGCTTTGGTTTAACATCTCATCTGAAGAACGGCATCTCTGACAACGCAGCAACACCCCCCCAGAGCGTCAGCTGAGGCTGTGATTCCAATCCCCGACGTGTTGGGGGGCCTTGAACCCACAACCTTCCGACTCAGAGACAAGAGCATTACCAACTGAGCCAGACTGACACAGTGGTCTTAAGGCTAAGACACTTGAATTATTTTGGGTCCTCACTGATGGGTGAAATGGGTTCAGCTTCCCAATACCAGAGCAAGCAACTGTACAGTGACCTCTCTGCATTCTCAGATGTCCCTTATCCTGAGAAGATTCTGTACAAAGCCTCTGGTAGCCCCCCCTCCCACCACCCCCTCTCACACACACACACACACACACACACACACGTACACAGAAGCCCCCAAATCCCTCCTAGTTTTAGCTTGTGAGACCATTTGGTCCTAATCATAATTAATTAAGTAATTGTTGTGCACAATTTACTGTCACGTTTCACCCACAAAACACACAGTCAATTCACTTTACAGTGTATTCTGTGAAGCTCTTGAGACGTCTCAACAATGTGATAAGGCGCTGTGTCAAATGCCAGGATCATTATTATTATTATTTATAATTAAAAATACAGCTAATTCTTAAATTCTGTCTTAACATGAAAGCCGATTTTTTCTACAGGACTTTGACAGAAACTGGTCTCCAAATTCACACCTGATCCAAAAACGTTCCACAATTCCAAGACAAAAGACAATTCCAAGGGCTTATATTCTCTGGAATATAGAAGAATTAGAGGGCCTCTTATAGAAACCTATAAGATCATCAAAGGGCAATGATAGAGTAGATAGTGGGAGATTGTTTCCCCGGTTGGAGAAACTAAAACCAGGGGTCACAACCTTAAAATCAGAGGCCAACCCTTTCGCACTGAGTTGAGGATGAACTTCTTCACTCAAAGGGGTGAATGTATGGAACTCACTACCGCAAAGGGCTGTTGATGCTCAGTCCTTGAACATATTCAAGACTGAGAGATAGATTTCTTATTGCAAAAGGGATTAAGGGATATGGGGGTAAGGCCGGGGAGGGGGGGGGGGAGGGGGGATATGGGGGTAAGGCCGGGTCAGGTTATTAGCTGGAGTTAGATTAGAAGATCAGCCGTGATTGAATGGCGGGGCAGAGGCTCGAAGGCCCGAATGGCCTACTCCTGCTCTGACATGTTATGTTAAAATAAATAAGAATAATTATAACTCCTGACATTTGAATCAGCGGGGCCTTTGACGTCTGAATGGCACCTTCACAGGATGCACTGCAAAGTGGAGTGACTGTGTATTCTGTAGGCAAATGCAGCAGCCAATTTGCACACAGCAATGCCAACTGGTGGGGTTTGAATGAGAGAATTCCCAGTTTTAAGACTCATTACTCAATTCTCACACCATCTCATCTGCCCCCAATTCCTGAGACAATTCCTGGTTCCCGGATTCCCTGATATTCCAAAAAAAATCAATGTCACTGGCAGTGCAATGTGGGATGGGGATGATTGGGAAGGGGGGACGAGGAGTGGGCAGAGGGAGAGAGCGAGAACGAGGGTGAGGAGGGAGGGGAAAGAGAGACCGAGGGTGAGGAGGAGGGAGAGAGAACGAGAGAGGGAAAGGTGGGGAGAGGGAATGAGGAGGGAAGAGGAGAGAACAAGGAGAAAGAGGGGAAGGAGATAGAGAATGAGGGTGGAGAGCGGGGAGAGGGAGAAAACAAGGGTGGGAGAGAGAGAGAGAACAAGAGTGGTGAGGAGTGGAGGGAGAGAGAGAGGATGAGGAGAGAGAACGAGGGTGGGGAGAGGAGGGAGACAGAATGAGGGAAGAGAGGGCGGGAGAGAGAGAACAAGGGTGAGGAGGGAGGGAGGGAGGGAGAGAGAGAGAACGAGGGAGGGAGGGAGGGAGGCTGACATCAGGTGCAGATGGACAGCCCGGTGTCTGGTTTGGTGAGCTGGCAGACGGGAAGTTCCCCGAAGAAGACGGGATCGGTCATGGGGAAGAGGAGCAGGAAGAAGAGGGAGACTCCGAGCAGGTAGAAGAGCAGGATGGTGAGCTTCTGGGGGTGATCGAAAGCAGCTCCGATGGCTGGGAATCCCATGTAGTTACAGAAGGAGTGGCAGAGAACCGGCCCGATCAGGTGACCTGCAATAGGAGAGTGAGCGAGGAACAGAATTTATCAACAGAATCATCTCTCCCGTTTGAGCATAGCAATAAAATAATAATCTTTGCATTTGATATCACAGCTTATCACGTTGTTCAGACGTCTCAAAGTGCATTACAGAACACAATTCTGTCCAAAAATTAATCACTTCACTTTACAGTGTATCCTGTGAAGCGCTTTGAGACGTCTCGACATTGTGATAAGTACCTGTATTAAATGCAGGGTTTATTATTATTATACTGTAAAGTGTAGTGACGACTGTGTGTGTTTTGTGGGCGAAATGCGGCAGCCGATTGCGCCCAACGACATCCCCACAAACAGCCGTGGATTCAATGACCAAATTATTATTTTTTTAAATAATTTTTTTGGAAGGGATTATTACCCCCAGAAAGCGATCCTCCAATCGACTAACAAGCTACTGACTGCTGAGGAACACAGGCGTGTCTGTGTGTGAGAGTCTGTCTGTCTGTGTGTGTGTGTGTGTGTGTCTGTGTGTCTCTGTGTGTATGACTGTGTGTGAGTGTGTGTGTGTGTGTGTGTCTGTGTGTCTCTGTGTGTATGACTGTGTGTGAGTGTCTGTGTGTGTGTGTGTGTGTGTGTGTGTGTGTGTCTGTGTGTGAGTGTCTATCTGTGTGTGTGTGTGTGTGTCTGTGTGTGAGTGTCTGTGTGTGTTTGTGTGTCTGTCTGTGTGAGAGTCTGTCTGTCTGTGTGTGTGTGTCTGTGTGTCTCTGTGTGTCTGTGTGTGAGTGTGTGTGCGTCTCTGTGTGTGTGTCTGTGTGTGAGTGTCTATCTGTGTGTGTGTGTGTGTGTGAGTGTCTGTGTGTGTGTGTGTGTGTGTGTGTGTGTGTGTCTGTCTGTGTGTGTGTCTGTGTGTGAGTGTCTGTCTGTGTGTGTGTGTGTCTGTGTGTGTGTGTCTGTGTGTGTCTGTGTGTGAGTGTCTGTCTGTGTGTGTGTGTGTGTCTGTGTGTGTGTGTGTCTGTCTGTGTGTGTGTCTGTGTGGAGTAAACAAACTTGGCTAACATTTCGCCTTGACCTGCCTGTGAATCGAACCCGGATCCTCTCGCTTGCGAGGCGAGGGGTGTAACCCCTGAGCTACAGGGTTTCACGAGGATGTGAGGAGACAGGAGAGGCCAGAGGAAGAGAATGTGAAAGAGCTGACCTGTCCGGATGAAAATGAATGCTGTGTAGGCCCCAAACACGGCAGTGTAGGAGAACTGGAAAACTGGGAAGAGAAGGGAAATAACCTGCATCAATCCGACTGTACCTGTTATTAATATTAATAATCATACAACAGAAACTGGCACTTATTTTCTATAATATAAACAATAATAATAATCCATGCATTTGATACAGCATTTGATTGTTAGATTGTGAGAGAGCCGCACTGAGCCAGTCTGACCGCAGTAATCCCGTGCTGTCAGACACCTTACTGTATTGGTGGCTGTCGGCCACGTGGCTTGTACCTGCAGATAGAAAGATTCCAGAGACCGTCCCTTGCCTGAATTTGAGCAGCTCAATGACGTGGTGGAAATGAGCTGCGACAAGAATGAGACAGAGAAGGTGTCAGTGCCCACAAGACAACAACAACAACTTGCGTGTACACAGGGTCGCCCCTCCCAGAGCGCTTGACAGTGGCAGACACGACGCTGGGCCGGGGGGAGGTGACCGTAAGCACTGGTCAAAGAGGAAGGTCTTCAGGTGTGACCTGAAGATGGGGAAGGTGGGAGCGAGGAAGAGGGATTGAGGGAGAGACTGACGAGAGTTTCGGGGCCAGGTGGTCGAAGGCACGGCCGCTCGCTCACAAAGACCCATTCAACAACAACAACAACACATGACACTTGTACGGCGTCTCTCACGTCAGGAGGACGTGCCCAGCGCTGGACAGTCAGGGGTTTGGACCCGAGCTGGGGGTTGGGATCAGGAGGGGGTGGAGGGTGTGGGCAGGAGGGGGAATGAAGGCGCGATCAAAGAGGAGGGTCTTGAAGGAAGGGAGGGAGAGAGGGAGGGAGGGAGGGGGTGAGTTGGAGGGACTGTGGGATGGAGTTCCAAAGGGTGGGGGCAGAGAGGCTGAAGGCCCGACCATCGATGGTGCAATACACACACTGATGGGATCAGGAGGGTGGGAGGAGTCACGGGAGGGGTGGGAGGAGTTACGGGGAGGGGTGGGAGGGGTCACAGGGAGGGGTGGGAGGAGTCATGGGGAGGGGTGGGAGGAGTCACGGGGAGGGTGGGAGGAGTCAGGGGGAGGGTTGGGAGGAGTCACAGGGAGTGGTGGGAGGAGTCACAGGGAGGGTGGGAGGAGTCACGGGGTGGGGTGGGAGGAGTTACGGGGAGGGGTGGGAGGAGTCATGGGGAGGGGTGGGAGGAGTCACGGGGAGGGTGGGAGGAGTCAGGGGGTGGGTTGGGAGGAGTCACGGGGAGTGGTGGGAGGAGTCACATGGAGGGTGGGAGGAGTCACGGGGAGGGGTGGGAGGAGTCACAGGGAGGGGTGGGAGGAGTCACGGGGAGTGTGGGAGGAGCCACAGAGAGGGTGGGAGGAGTCACAGGGAGGGTGGGAGGAGTCACAGGGAGGGTGGGAGGAGTCACAGGGAGGGTGGGAGGAGTCACAGGGAGGGGTGGGAGGAGTCACAGGGAGGGGTGGGAGGACTCACATCTACTCACCGACGCCAAAGAAGAGCGGGCAGGTGAAGATGGCCCGGTTGAGGCCGGTGCAGGGCACCAGCATGGGCAGCATACAGGCTCGGAAGACCAGCTCCTCTGTCAACGGCGCCACCACCTGGTTCCTCAGCCACCGCATGTCCGTCACACACTGCACCCAGAACCGCACGTCTGCACCGGGGGGCAACACATTAACCTCAAGTACAGGAGGTTGCCCGACCCCATCAACCTTCAGCCTCTCTGCCCCCATCCTCTGGAACTCCATCCCACAGTCCCTCCCTCCCTCCCTCCTCTGCGACCAACCGCGCCTCCTGACACCCTCCTACCCCCACCGTCCCTGTCCTCCACCCCTCCTGAGCCCAACCCCCAGCTCGGGTCCAAACCCCTGACTGTCCAGCGCCTGCGGACGTGCTCCCGATGTGAAAAGCTCCGTGTAAATGTCATGTGTTGTTGTTGTTGAGTCGATGTTACTTGCCCACAGACTGACTGTGTTCAGGTCATTAATCAGACGCCAATGGATGGAGTTACAGAGGGCAACAGCAAAAGCTTTGGGAGGTTCGACCGATTATAATCATAATAATAATCCTTGCATTTGATCCGGCGCCTTATCACGTCGTCAAGACGGCTCAAAGCGCTTCGCGGGATACACTGTAAACTGTAGTGACTATATGTTTTGCAGGCGAAACGCGGCAGCCAATTGCACCCGGCGACGTCCCCACAAAGTCATGGGTTGAGTGACCATTTTATTATTATTATTATTTGTGGGAGGAGGGATTATTACCCTGGAAAACTAACAATTGGGTTCCGACTAACTGCTGGTTAAACAGAGGCGCGTGTGTGCGCGTGTAGTAAGGAAACTTGCCTAAGTTTGCGCCCTGACCTGCCCGGGAATAGAACCCCGGTCCACAACAGCTCTCACGTTGGAGGACATCTCAAACGTTTGATGTGGAGGGTGTGGATCACTGAACAAAACACCGTCAGGAGGAGCTTGCCCTTACGTACTCACCAATAAGAACCTTCACCCCGTCCACAAAGCCCCACGGAAGATCCATACACAGCTGAATGAGTGGGCCAAAGAACAACACCTGTGGAACAGCAAACAAAGATTAACAACTATCAGCCTGGCTCGGTCTCTCTCTCTCTCGTCTCGGAGTCAGAAGGTTGTGGGTTCAAGCTGCCACAAGTCGGGACCTGGAATCACACAGTCTAAGCTGAAGCTCCAGCCCAGTGCTGGGGGTTAAGGAGAGAGAGAGAGAGAAGGCGCTGAATTGTCGGAGGCGCCGCCTTTAAATCTGAGACATTAAACCTCACTCGCTCCCCATCTGCCTGTTCAGGCGGATGTTAAAGATCTCCCGCAGGGCTGTTGGAAAAGAGAAGGGGGTTTCTCCCCCTCTCTCTGTCTCACAGTGTTCTGGCCGACAAACACCCCAAATCAAATTGATTGCTCACTCCACGGCTGTTTGTGGGACATTCAGTTTCAGTCACAAAACACACAGTCACTACACTTTACAGTATATTCCGTGAAGCACTTGGAGATCACTCAGTCCACGACTGTTTGTGGGGACGCTGCTGTGCGCAATTGGCTGCCGCGTTTCGCCCACAAAATATACAGTCAATTCACTTGACAGTGTGTCCTGTGAAGCGCTTTGAGACGTCTCGAAAACGTGATAAGGCGCTGTGTCAAATACTAGGATTATTATTATTATTATTAATCTGTCAATTAATTATTGGGACGTCCTCCCGACATGAAAGGCGCTCAATAAATGGAATCTTGTTGTTGTTGTATTATAACAACATGGGGTGCCCACCAGTGGCTGATAGAAGTTCTGTCCACTCTCACCCTGAATCCCAGCCACGTTATAGCAGGAATTACCACAAGATTCAAACAAGGGAAAACCTCGCGACTTTACATCGTTCAACGAAATGTCTCAAGACAGAGATTTGCTGCCTTTTGTGCCTGTATTTTGCAGGAAACCTCAACAAGATCCAGTGCACAGCAAGATCCCACCCCTGCCTGCAACTGACTGATGTTCAGCTCGGAAGTTTTCCGATAGCACCTGAATGAAGATTGCATGCCACAGCACCTGTGTTTCAATGACTTAAACGTCACAGTGAAACCTAGCCCCGTCCTGTCCCAGTCCCAGTCACAGCGCTAAAGTCCAGCTCACTCACCATCGTCAGCAGGAGCGGTAGAGAGGCAGCAGCCAAAGCCCCCTCCAAGCGGAACCCCATCAGTGATAGCAGCGAGGGACCTGTCTGATCAAAACACGCAGGAAGTCAGAACCAGACTCGCCGAGTCCCTGTAGCTCAGGGGTTAGACCCCTCCCCTCGCACCCCACAGCCCCTGTAGCTCAGGGGTTAGACCCCTCCCCTCGCACCCCACAGCCCCTGTAGCTCAGGGGTTAGACCCCCCCCTCGCACCCCACAGCCCCTGTAGCTCAGGGGTTAGACCCCTCACCTCGCACCCCACAGCCCCTGTAGCTCAGGGGTTAGACCCCTCCCCTCGCACCCCACAGCCCCTGTAGCTCAGGGGTTAGACCCCTCCCCTCGCACCCCACAGCCCCTGTAGCTCAGGGGTTAGACCCCTCACCTCGCACCCACAGCCCCTGTAGCTCAGGGTTAGACCCCTCCCCTCACACCCCACAGCCCCTGTAGCTCAGGGGTTAGACCCCTCACCTCGCACCCCACAGCCCCTGTAGCTCAGGGGTTAGACCCCTCACCTCGCAAGCCACAACAAGATACAACAACAAGATTTCATTTATAGAGCACCTTTCACGTCGGGAGGACGTCTCAAGGCGCTGGACAGTTGGGTCGGGACCCGAGCATTGGGGGAAATGGTCAGGGTGAGGGGGGGGAAGGGAGGGAGCGAAGAGGGGGGAAATGGTCAGGGGGAGGGAGCGAGGAGGGGGCAAAGGGTGAGGGGAGGGAAGGGAGGATGCGAGGAGGGGGGAAATGGTCAGGGTGAGGGGAGGGAAGGGAGGGAGCGAGGAGGTGGTAGAGAGGCGAGAGCGGAGCTGAAGGCGCGGTCGAAGAGAAAGGTCTTGAGACCGGCCTTGAAGGAGGAAAGGGAGGAAGCGGCGAAGGCACTGGGGATGGAGTTCCAGAGCCTCGGGGCTGAGAGGCTGAAGGCCCGGTCACCGATGGTAGGGCGGTTGGGGCGGGGGACGTGGAGCAGACCGGAGCCAGAGGGACGGAGGGTACGGGCAGGTAAGTAGGGGGATAGTAGGTCAGAGAGGTAGGAGGGAGCGAGGCCGGGAATGGCCCTGTAGGTGAGGATATTGAATTCGATCCTCTGGGGGATGGGGAGCCAGTGGAGGGGAGCGAGGGCGAGGGTGAGGGTGAGGGTGGGAGTGAGGGTGAGGGCGAGGGTGAGGGTGGGAGTGAGGGCGAGGGTGAGGGTGGGAGTGATGTGATCGCGGTGTCTGGTGTGGGACAGTACACGAGCTGCAGAGTTCTGGATGACCTGCAGTGTGGAGGGAGGGCCGGGAAGGCCGACGAGGAGAGAGTTCCCATAGTCCGGCCTTGAGGTGATAAAGGTGTGGACCAGAGTTTCAGCCGCGTGAGGGGTGAGGTAGTGCCGTAGTCTGGCAATGTTTCGGAGGTGATGGAAGGCGGTGCCGGTTGTGGCGCAGATGTGGGGAAGAAAGGACAGCTCAGGGTCGAACCCCGAGGTTCCTGATGGCTTTGAGAGGTGGAGAGTGCGGAGCTGATGGTGTCAGTGCCTGAGGTGCGGAGGCGCTGACGTGAGCCAATCAGGAGGGCCTCAGTTTTGCGGACGTTGAGCTGAAGAAAGTTGTCTCTCGTCCAGGACTCGATGTCGGACAGACAGCTGTCAGGACATCGGGGTCGTGGAGTTGAGAGTAGAGGAGGAAAGGTAGAGTTGGGTGTCATCCGCATACATGTGGGAGTGAACCCCATGTCTGCGGATGATGTCACCACAGTGGGAGCATATAGAGGGTGAAGAGGAGGGGACCGAGGACAGAGCCCTGAGGGACACCACACAAAACAGTGCGGGGGGTGGAGGAAAAGCCATTTGCAGAGACAAAATGAAGACGGTGGGAGAGGTACGACCTAAACCACTCAAGGACAGGGCCTTGAAGGTTGAGGTGGAGGACATGTGGTGGAGGAGGATAGAGTGGTCAACCGTATCGAATGCTGCCGATATGTCGAGGAGGACGAGGAGGCAGAGGGAGCCCTGGTCACAGATGGTCAGGATGTCATTGGTGACCTTGACCAGAGGGCAGTTTCTGTGCTATGGGCAGCACGGAAACCCGACTGAAGGGGTTTGAATAATGAATGGATGGAGAGGAAAGAGCGCAGCTGGGAGGCGACGACTCTTTCAAGGACCTTGGACAGGAAGGGGAGGTTGGAGATGGTGCCCCTGTAGCTCAGGGGTTAGACCCCTCGCCTCGTAAGCCACAGCCCCTGTAGCTCAGGGGTTAGACCCCTCCTCTCGCAAGCCAGAGGGACCCGGGTTTGATTCCCGGGCGGGTCAGGTCAGGGCGAAACCTTAGGCAAGTTTCCTTAACCCCCACACCCACCCCCACACACATATACACGCACACCTCTGTTTACCTCGCGGTAAGTAGCGTCCCAGAGCGCTTGACAGTGGCGGAGCACAACTCCGAGCCGGAGGTGGTGGGAGGAGGTGGGGGGAGGAGTGACCGTAAGCACTGGTCGAACTGGAAGGTCTTCAGGCACGACCTGAAGATGGGGAAGGAGGGTGAGGGCGAGGCGAAGGGAGGGACAGAGGGAAGAGTGACAGAGTTTCGGGGTGCAGTGGCTGAAAGTGCGGCCACCGATGGTGGAGTGGAGGGGCCGAGGGACCAGCAGGAGGCCGGAGTGTGCGAGCATACCTTGTTACCTGTATATTCCCGCCATATCCAGAGGCCTAAAGGGGAAAGTGCTGAGACTATGAGGACGCTGGTGAACCGCCTTTTGATGACTGTCGGATGGTCCCTGGAACACAGAGAGATACACAAGATGGACTGGAGGATATCGTGGGTCTCATAGCTAAGTGGTTATTTAGCTCCGGGATTTACCAACAAACAGAAGTCCCGTAGCTCAGTGGTTAGAGCACTCGCCTCGCAAGCGAGAGGACCCGTGTTCGATTCCCGTGCGAAACCTTAGGCAAGTTTTCTTCACACACACACACACGCGCCTGTTTACCAGCAGTAACTAGGAACCCGGTTGTTAGTCGAATGGCGGATTGCTTTCCAGGTGTAATAATCCCTTCAAAATGTGGTCGCTCAATCCATGACTGTTTGTGGGGACTCTGCTGTGCACAATTGGCTGCAGGCGTTTCGCCCACAAACATAGTGAATTTACTTTACAATAGATCCTGTGAAGCGCTTTGAGCCGCTTCAAAGATGTCATTATCAAATGCAAGGATTATAATTATCGTTACCGCTTGGCACTATCTAAATCATGCATTTCATCCCTCTGATCCCTTAAAAAAAATTCAGTCACTCAATCCATGACTGTTTGTGGACACTGTTGTGCGCAATTGGCTGCCACGCTTCGCCCACTTTACAATAAATCCTGTGAAGTGCTTTGAGACGTCTCGACGACATGATAAGGTTCTGTATCAAATGCAAGGATTTCTTTTATTGTATAAAGGCAGAGCTGTGGCGCAGTGCCTCTCCGTCTGTTTGCTGAGGCTGTGGAGGAAATTCAAGTTCTTAATTTGAAAACGCTGACCTTAGTGAAAGAGGGAGAGAGATAGCGAGGGAAGGAGAGAGGGAGGAGAGAGGTGGTTGAGGGAGGGGGAAGAGGTGGGAGAGGGAGGGACAGGAAGAGAGGGAGGGAGAGTGAGTGGGGGAGGGAGAAAGAGATCAAATATATACACTTTCCCTACATTAAGCACATAAACCCCACTGGGATTCAAAACACATTGCACTGTGGCTGTGTCAGGCAGGGCTGAAGTTGTAGACCACGACAGCTTTAGTCATTGCAATTAAAATCTCCTTTAAATCAAAAATATTCTGCCAGCCCATCTAGAGTAACCGCAAAGAGCTGTTAAGTAACCCACACCGTAAATAACCTGGTCTTACAATAGGCAGCAGCTTAGACGTAGGGATGAAATGCTTTATAGCAGTAATAATAATCCTTGCATTTGATATAGCTCCTTGTCAAGTCGTCGAGACGTCTTAAAGAGTTCACAGATTGTTCTGTGAAGTGTAGGGAATGTGTATTTTGTGGGCAAAACGCAGCAGCCAATTGCGCACAGCAGCGTCCCACAAACAGTCATGGAACAACAGGGTTCCTACTTATTGCAGGTAAACAGAGGCGTGTGGAGCAAGGAAATTTGCCTAAAACCTAGTAATGGAACCTGGGTCCTCTCGCTTGCAAGGCGAGTGATTTGTAATAATAATAATCCTTGTATTTGGAGTCCTGTAGCTCAGTGGTTAGAACACTCGCCTCTCTAGCAAGAGACCTGGGTTCGATTCCCAGCAGAGGGGGCGAAACCTTGGGCAAGTTTCCTTACTCCACACGCCTGATAATAATCCCTCAAGAAAAAAAAACAATAACAAATTGATCACTTCAATCCACGACTGTTTGTGGGACGTCGCTGAGCGCAATTGGCTGCCGTGTTTCACGCACAAAATATACAGTGAATTCACTTGACAGTGTATCCTGTGAAGCGCTTTAAGACGTCTCAAAGACACGATAAGCCGCTGGGTGAAACGCAGGGATTATTATTGCTATTATATTTTCGGCAGCCAACTGCACACAGCAGTGTCCCACAATGTGCCACAGACGGCCTAACCTATAGGCCACGGAACTCCACTTGGCAAGCAGAAGGGAAAGCGGGGGATTGCAAGTGTTGTCAAAGTCATAGGATTTTAAGAGGGTTTTTGAAGACAAGCAAACTGGTTTGGGGGGTTGCTGAAAGCTCTGACATGGAGGGTGGAGGGGGGTGGAGGGTGGGGGGGGGAGGGGGAGAAGAAAGGAGGTTTTTGAAAGCCCAGACTTGCCTGAGAAAGGCGGGACACATTTTGCAAGCTTTCACTTGTATTAACTGGAATTAGAGTAAAATGCCCAGAATTACGACAGACAACAGCACCCATCACGCAGGGTCTCAGAGCACTCACCAGTGGCAGGGACGGACGCCGTGCTGAGGACAGAGAGGGGAGGCGACTGTAGCCACGGTCAAAGAGGAAGGACTTTAGGTGCGACCTGAAGATGGAGCAGGAGTGGGTGAGCGAGGCAGAGGGTTACAGGGAGGGAGTGACTGAGGTTTGCAGCATAGTGGATGAAAGCATGACTGCCAGACTGATAATAATAATAATAAAAATAATAATAATCCTTGCATTTGATATAGCGCTTTTCACGTCTTCTCGACGTCTCAAAGCGCTTCACAGAATAGACTGTAAAGTAAATTGACTGTATATTTGTGGGCGAACGCGGCAGCCAATTGCGCACAGCAATGTCCCACAAACAGTCGTGGATTGAAAATGACCAATTTATTATTGTTTTTTGAGGGAATTATTATTAGGCTCTGTGTGGAGTAAGGAAACTTGCCCAAGGTTTCGCCCTCTGCCGGGAAATGAACCCAGGTCTCTCGCTTCTAAAGCGAGTGCTCTCGCCACTAAGCTCTAATAATTGATAATATAATAATAATAATCCTTGCATTTGATATAGCGCTTTTCACGTCGGGAGAGGACGTCCCAAAGCGCTTCACAGAACACACTGTAAAGTGAATTGACTGTATATTTGTGGGCGAACGCGGCAGCCAATTGCGCACAGCAATGTCCCACAAACAGTCGTGGATTGAAAATGACCAATTTATTATTGTTTTGGGTTTTGGAGGATTATTATTAGGCTCTGTGTGGAGTAAGGAAACTTGCCCGAGGTTTCGCCCTCTGCCTGGAATTGAACTCAGGTCTCTCACTTGCAAAGCGAGTGCTCTAACCACTGAGCTACAGGATGATGATAATAATAATTATTCTTGTATTTGATGCAGCGCTTTATCAAGTCTTGTCTTTAATGTCTGCCTGAACATCTCATCCGAGGGACGGCGCCTTCAACAATGGAACACACTCCCCAGGTGTTGCATTCGAGTGTCACTTTAAGACTGTGTGATGTGATTCTCACACATAAATGGGAAGAGTGCAGGTTAGCAGAGGAGGACGGGGTGGGAGGTGGGGGCTGCCTGGGTTCACAGGCTCGCGTTGTGAGCCGGAGCAGAGAGGGCAGCGCTCTCGTCTCTGAGTCAGAAGGGTTGTGAGTTCAAGCCCCCACGTCAGGTCTTGGAATCACAGTCTAAGCTGACACTCCAATGCAGCGCTGGTGGGGTGGGGGGGGAGTTGCATTGTCGGAGATGAGACGTTAAACCTCACTCACTCCCTGTCCGAGCCCCGTTCAGGTGGACGTTAAAGATTTCCCACGGCGCTATTCGAAAAGAGAAGAAGTTTCTCTCTCTCTCCTGGCGTCCTGGACGACAATCCCTCGAATAACATTGGTCGCTCACTCCATGGCTGTTTGTGGGACATCGCTGTGGGCAAACCGGCTGCCACTTTTCACCCACAAAATATACAACAACAAGAATAACTTGGATTTACATACTGCCCTTCACGCAGGGCAGCGTCCCAGAACGCTTGATACACAGTCACTACATTCAAAAATCAAAAAAACGCTTCTCGGCTGTAAGTGGGGGAAACTTTGCTGTGTGCAAATCAGCTGCTGCATAACACACAGTCACTACACTTGGCGGTGAAATCCTGTTTGTGGGGTACTGCTGTGCGCAACTGGCTGCCGGGTTTAGCCTGCAAAACTCACAGTCACTACACTTTACAGTGTATCCCATGAAGCGCGTGGAGACATATCTAAGATGTGATAAAGCGCTGCATCAAATGCAAGAATTGTTATTAATATCCTGTAACTTAGGGGTTAGAGCACTCTCCGTGCGAGCCAGAGGATCCAGATTCAATTCCTGGGCGGGTCAGGTCAGGGCGAAACAACAACAAGATTCCATTTACAGAGCGCCTTTCACGTCGGGAGGACGTCCCAAAGCACTGGACAGTTGGGTCAGGACCCGATCAGTGGGGGGAAATGGTCAGGGGGAGGGGAGGGAAGGGAGGGAGCGAGGAGGGGGGAAATGGTCAGGGTGAGGGGAGGCAAGGGAGGGAGTGAGGAGGGGGGAAATGGTCAGGGTGAGGGGAGGGAAGGGAGGGAGTGAGGAGGGGGGGAATGGTCAGGGTGAGGGGAGGGAAGGGAGGGAGTGAGGAGGGGGGAAATGGTGAGGGGAAGGAAGGGAGGGAGCGAGGAGGGGGTAGAGAGGCGAGAGCGGAGCTGAAGGCTGAAGGTCGAAGAGAAAGGTCTTGAGACCGGCCCTGAAGGAGGAAAGGGAGGAAGCGGCGAAGGCACTGGGGATGGAGTTCCAGAGCCTCGGGGCTGAGAGGCTGAAGGCCACTGATGGTCGGGCGTTTGGGGCGGGGGATGGGGGGCCGACCGGAGCCAGAGGGACGGAGGGTACGTGGGGGGATAGTAGGTCAGAGAGGGAGGAGGGAGCGAGGCCGGGAATGGCCTTGTAGGTGAGGATGAGGATCTTGAATTCGATGCTCTGGGGGATGGGGAGCCAGTGGAGGGGAGCGAGGGTGAGGGCGAGGGTGAGGGTGGGAGTGAGGGCGAGGGTGAGGGCGAGGGTGAGGGTGGGAGTGAGGGCGAGGGCGAGGGTGAGGGTGGGAGTGAGGGCGAGGGTGAGGGTGAGGGTGGGAGTGAGGGTGAGGGTGAGGGTGGGAGTGATGTGGTCGCGGTGTCTGGTGTGGGACAGTACACGAGCTGCAGAGTTCTGAATGACCTGCAGTGTGGAGGGAGGGCCGGGAAGGCCGACGAGGAGAGAGTTCCCATAGTCCGGCCTTGAGGTGATAAAGGTGTGGACCAGAGTTTCAGCCGCGTGAGGGGTGAGGTAGTGCCGTAGTCTCTGGCAATGTTTCGGAGGTGATGGAAGGCGGTGCCGGTTGTGGTGCGGATATGAGGGAGAAAAAAAATCCTATCACGGACATGACTGTAACCAACAAAAACAACACGCTGCTTTGATTTAGATTGGAAATTCCCTCCTTCCCACTCCCCACCCCCTTCTCCTGCCTCCCCCAGCGTCTCGGTGCCCCAGGGTGTGGGGGGGAGGGGGGTGAAGTTGGGGGCACTGTGTGGGATAGGAAGGGGAGGATCAGGTTCCACACAAAAAGTCTTGCTTCGAAAGTCTGCAAGCATCCTTGTAATGTTACCCTGGAACAGCGACCTCCTGACAGCACATGGAGAGAAGCCCAGATTGAGGAATGTTGACTGCTCCGTACAATGGTAAGGTGAGCCCCTCCCTCCCACTCCGACACGCTCGCCTTCACGGCACGGTGGGGCTTGGGGGACAGATTAATAATAATAATCATCCTTGCATTTGATACAGGGCCTTATCACATCTTTGAGACGTCTCAAAGCGCTTCACAGGATACACTGTCAAGTGGAGTGACTGTATATTTTGTCCCAGCACCTCTGTTTAGTCCCCTTTACACATAGACTGACACGCACACACAGACACACAAACACGCCTGTGTCTCTGGCAGTCAGTAGGAATCCGCTTGTTAGTCGATTGGGGGATCACTTTCCGGGGGTAACATAATAATAATCGTTGCATTTGACATAGCGTTTTTCACGTCTTCTCGACGTCTCAAAGTGCTTCGCAGGATAGACTGTGAAGTGAATTGACCGTATATTTGTGGGCGAAACGCAGCAGCCAATTGCGCACAGCGGCGTCTGACCCACAGACAGCCGCGGGTTGAAAATGACCAATTTGTTGTGATTGTTTGTTTTGGAGGGGTTGTTATCAGCCGCGTGTGGAGGACGGAGACTTGCCCGAGGCTTCCCCCGGGCTGGGGCTGAACCCCGGTCTCTCGCTTGCCAGGCGAGCGCTCCGACCCCTGAGCCACAGGACTCCGTGTAATAACAATAATCCCTTCAAAACAATAATAATAATTCGGGGGCTTCAACCCCCGGCTGTTTGTGGGGGCGTCGCCGGACGCGATCGGCCCCCGGGACACACGCACAGTCACTACACTCGACGGCGCGCCCTGTGACGGTGATGCTGCTGATGCTGAGCTTTACTCTGGAGTTGCCAGGGGCAACTAGCCCCGCCCCCTGTCACAATGGAGACCCCGCCCCCTGGCGACCCCCCCCCCCCGCCCCCTCTCGTGTCACCATGGCGATCCCTCCCCTTTCCCCACCCCCACTGTGTCACCATGGCGACCCCTCCCCCCCCTCCGCCGCTGTGTCACCATGGCGACAACACCCCCCACACACTCACCCACCCCCTTACCTGGGCAAAGGGCTCCTCCATACGTACAGGCTGCCCACGTAGCCGCAGGCCAGCAGCAGGCAGGCCGCGACCGAGACGGAGCACAGCTCGGCGGCGGCAGCGGCCATTTGCCCCCGACCTCCAGAGGCAGCCAGGCACCTGCGTCATCACGCGCCTGCGTCACCGCGCACAACGGGCTGGCACGCACTGCGTCACTACGCAAGCCAAGCTGCGGCGGGCAACTCACGCCGCCCACGCCGGTTGGCCCTCAGCAGGCAGGCAGGCAGCTACACGCACTGCGTCATCACGCACGGCACGCCAAGGCATCCCCACACTCGATCCACCGAAGTGGCACGGAGTACGCAAGCGCACCAAACGCCAACCATTCCCATTCACAAAAATCAACCACGTGATGGAGCGAGTTGCGCGCCCTTTCCACACAAACACACCTCGCTCCTGAGCTGTATTGTATTGCCAGAGGGTTGGGCTGTTTTTATGCCCAATTGGACTTGTTTTTGTTACAATAACAATAATCACATCTTCGAGATGTCTCAAAGTGCTTCGCAGAATGTACTGTAAAGTGTAGTGACTGTGTATTTTGTGCGTATGTGCTGTGAAACCTAGGGTGACCGTATTAGTATTATTATAGATAATAACAATCCTTGCATTTCATAGAGCGCCTTATCATGTCGTTGAGACATCTTAAAGTACTTCACAGAACACACTGTAAAGTTGCTCACCTTACACCGTGTACAGCTCGGACCCCCCTCCCCATTAGTTAGTTAGTTAGTTAGTTAGTTTAGTTAGTTAGTTGGGGCTTTGGCTGTGGGGTTACCAGGAGCTGAGGGGGAGGATTCCCTGTCCCCAGTGACTGGTCGGCCCTTCCAGGTCCTGCCCATGAGCCGGGCCGGGCTGGGCTGCCATCAGCAGTGAGTGCTCTGGGACCCTGCGGCCCCTCCTGGCTCAGGAACCGGGGCTAAAGATGGTCACAGAGGGGGGGCTCAATCCCCACATTCCGTGGGCAAACATGTCACCGTGGGGCCGGTTCAGGTCGAATGAGACTCCGCTTATTCACCCATGCTGGCATCCATGCTTGTTGATACATTTGTGAATGGAAAGTCCTGGCACAAGACAGTACATTCAAGTGAAGTACATTCATTATTCATCCCAGCTGTGGGGATTCCCAAATTCCCTTGAGAAAGCTTCCAAACACGCCTGTGATCCTGTGAAGAGTATTCACACATTCTCCATACTCATAATAATCCCGAGCCGTATTAAAAATGCACGTATGGTGCTATTTTCAGGGAGGGGGAGGGGGAGGTAAGCGGGGTCTCTTTGGAGCTGAACTGGCGCAAACAACAACAACAACAACAAGATTCCATTTATAGAGCGCCTTTCACGTCAGGAGGACGTCCCAAGGCGCTGCACAGTTGGGTCATGACCCGAGCAGGGGGGAAATGGTCAGGGTGAGGGGAGGGAAGGGAGGGAGCGAGGAGGAGGAAGAGAGTCGAGAGGGGAGCTGAAGGCACGGTCAAAGAGAAAGGTTTTGAGACCGGCCTTGAAGGAGGAAAGGGAGGAAGCGGTGAAGGCACTGGGGGATGGAGTTCCAGAGCCTGGGGGCTGAGAGGCTGAAGGCCCGACCACCGATAGTAGGGCGGTTGGGGCGGGGGACGTGGAGCAGACCGGAGCCAGAGGAACGGAGGGTACGGGCAGGTAGGTAGGGGGATAGTAGGTTGGAGAGGTAGGAGGGAGCAAGGCCGTGAATGGCCTTGTAGGTGAGGATGAGGATCTTGAAATCAATCCTCTGGGGGATGGGGAGCCGGTGGAGGGGAGCGAGGGTGGGAGTGATGTGGTCGCGGTGTCTGGTGCGGGACAGTACACGAGCTGCAGAGTTCTGAATGACCTGCAGTGTGGAGGGAGGTGGCGGGAAGGCCGGCGAGGAGAGAGTTCCCATAGTCCAGCCTTGAGGTGACAAAGGCGTGAACCAGGGTTTCAGCAGCGTGAGGGATGAGGTAGTGCCGTAATCTGGCGATATTCCGGAGGTGATGGAAGGCGGTGCCAGTTGTGGTGCGGATGTGAGGGAGAAAGGATAGCTCAGGGTCGAACAAAACGCCGAGGTTCCTGACTGGCTTTGAGAGGTGGAGAGTGCAGCCTTGGATGCTGATGGTGTCAGCGCCTGAGGTGCGGAGGCGCTGACGTGAGCCAATCAGGAGGGCCTCGGTTTTTCGCACGTTGAGCTGAAGAAAGTTGTCTCTCGTCCAGGACTCGATGTCGGACAGGCAGCTGTCAGGACATCGGTGGTCCTGGTTGAGTCGGGGAGCGGCAGCAGGACAGCGCGGGGAGGAGCCTGGGCCTACTGACCCAGGTACTTAAACTCGACGCCGGAGCGAGTGCAACTAGGGGGAGGGGAGGGAGGTGTGGGGGCGGAGCGGGGGAACTGCGACGTCATAGATTAGTTTTCAGGTGAGTGCGCGCGCACAAAAAAAAAAAAAAAAAAAACCCTCTGCGCCCCCCCCCCCCCCCCCCCAGGGCTCACATCAGAGCCCACTATGGTCCTGTTGGGTTCGATGCCCCAATCTGCGGGATAATGCCATCCACCTGACCGCTCGCTCCCGGTCCCCGCGTGCGCACTATGGCTGCCGCTTTGACCCGAGCCCCCTCACCCCCTCCCTCCCTCCCCCCTCCTCTCTCCCCCCAAACCCTCCCCCCTCTCCATCTCTCCCGCTCTCTCCTCCTCTCTCTCCGTCCCTCTCGTCTTCTATCCCCACTTGACCCTCCCACAACCTCCCTCTGTTCCAGTCTGGGAATCCTCCGCCGGGCTCACCGCGGCACTCGGCGTTGGCTGTCCAGCAGCAGCCACACCGACTGCCCCATTCCCCACCACACTCGCCACCCACCCCGGACACAGACCCGGGGAGTCAACCTCTCCTCCCTCATCCCCATCTCCCCCACCCCTGCCTCACAACCTGGACCCCCTCCCCTCCCACACACCCTTCTGTCAACCGCTCCCTCCACATCGGACTGCAAAATGTCCGCTCCCTCTGCAACAAGGCCCTGGTCATCAACGATCTCATCCTTGATGAGAACGTTGATATCATGGCCTTGACAGAAACGTGGCTCACCCCAGGCGACACCTTCCCCCTCACGGAGGCCACGCCACCCGGCTACACCTCCCACCACATCCCCCGCCCCAACCGCCGTGGCGGTGGTGTTGCCCTTATCTCAAGGACACCACTTGCCCTATCCCCCTACTCCTCTGGCTCTTTCCCCTCCTTCGAGCACCTCACCCTCTCCCACCCCTCATTCCTCTCCCTTAAAATCCTCCTCCTCTACCGGCCCCCTAAAACCTCTCCCACCTTCATCTCTGACATTTCAACACTCCTCACATCTCTTTGCCTCTCCTCTGATCGCCTCATCATCCTGGGCGACTTTAACCTACACTTCACCCCCTCCTGCTCCATCTCCACAGACTTCTCTTCCCTGCTCTCCTCACTCAACCTTTCCCTACACATAAACTCCCCCACTCACAGTCACGGCCACCCACTCGATTTGGTGATCACCCGGGGCCTCAGTGTCTCGGATGTCACTATTACCGACAAGGCCATCTCCGACCACTACTTCATCTCCTTCACCACCTCCACCCCCCTCCCCACCTCCACCAGACCCACCACCATCTTCTACCGCCCTTGGAAGAAGTTACCCCCACAATCCCTAACCGATGCCTTGGAGTCCTCTGAACTCCTCTCCCTCTGGCCTTCAACCCTCACCGACCCCTCTTCTCCTCTCTCCCTCCTCCACAATATCCTCTCCTCCACACTCGATACTCTTGCCCCCATCACTTCCCGCACTGTCTCCTACTCCCGCTCCTCCCCCTGGTACACCACCCACCTCCGCTCACTGAAATGCCAGGTGCGGGCTGCTGAGCGCACCTTTGTCAAATCCGGCTTAACGGTCCACCGACAAATCTGGCTGGACCTCCTCAAAATTTACCGCTCCACTCTAGCCTCGGCCAAGTCGTCCTTCTACTCCAGGATAATCCTGGAGGCGAAGAACAACCCCAGGCTACTGTTTTCCACCACATCCCGACTCCTCCGTCCCCCCGCCACCCCGCGCAGGTCATCTCCTCCAACCTTCACTGCGAGGAGATGCTGGATTTCCTTGAATCCAAGATCAAGGGAATCCGCTCCGCGGTCACTTCCCCTCCAACTTCCACCCACCACCCACCCCTTCCCTCCCACACTCCGACTCCTACCCATCCTCCCCTACACACCTTCGTACCCGTTTCCCCACCCTCTGTCACTGAACTCATCCTATCCCTAAAACCAACCACCTGCTCCCTTGACCCCATCCCCACTCCACTCCTTATCTCCCAGCTCCATTTTCTTGCCCCACACATCACTGACATCATAAACCTGTCCCTCTCCTCTGGCTCTGTCCCCATTCCATTAAAAACTGCCATCATCACGCCCACCCTGAAAAAACCCTCCCTTGATGCGTCGCAGCTATCAAGCTACCGGCCCATCTCCAACCTCCCCTTTCTCTCCAAGGTCTTGGAAAGAGTTGTCGCCTCCCAACTGCGCTCTTTCCTCTCCACCCATTCTCTTTTTGAACCCCTTCAGTCAGGTTTCCGTGCTGCTCATAGCACAGAAACTGCCCTGGTCAAGGTCACCAATGATATCCTGACCATCTGTGACCAGGGCTCCCTCTGTCTCCTCGTCCTCCTCGACCTATCGGCAGCATTCGATACGGTCGACCACGCTATCCTACTCCACCGCTTGTCCTCCCACCTCAACCTTCAAGGCACTGTCCTTGAATGGTTTAGCTCTTACCTTTCCCACCGTCTTCACTTCGTCTCAACGAATGGCTTCTCCTCCACCCCCCGTACTGTCTCATGTGGTGTCCCTCAGGGCTCTGTCCTCGGTCCCCTCCTCTTCACCCTCTATATGCTCCCCCTCGGTGACATCATCCGCAAACATGGGGTTAACTTCCACATGTATGCGGATGACACCCAACTCTACCTTTCCTCCTCTACTCTCAACTCCACGACCACCGATGTCCTGACAGCCTGCCTGTCCGACATCGAGTCCTGGACGAGAGACAACTTTCTTCAGCTCAACGTGCGAAAAACCGAGGCCCTCCTGAT